AGCTCCACACATTGTTAAGTGCAGCCGTCGCCCGATCTCGCTTTGCAGACACCTGCTCCGCAGGCTTGGGGCTCTCTCTCTCTTAAGTCCGCGGGTACCCGACCTGGTGCAGCACTCTGACCCGAGCTGTAACAGTGAGAGCTGGAGAGATGCAGCGGCACTTGTTCCAAAGCCAAATATTACTTCTCCCACGATACATACACTATATCCACATGGCACCCAAGGTACATGTGCATCTGCAAAACAAGTGCATCATCAGAGAGAGTTTTCAGTGCCGCTGGAAATATTGTAACTTCGGGGGATGAGGGGGTGGAGGAGGGGGTGTGATATCACCGCATACCGAGCTATTGAGCTGCTATACCGCACTGCAGGAGAAATTCCCTAACTGCAACAGCACTATTTGTGAATGAACCAAATAACAGAGGAGCTGATTCTGCCTGCAGCATTAGACGTGTTTTCTGTCACGCTTGATGATGAAAGTGCCCCGAACTATAACACAGACATGATCTTTCAAGACGAGGAGGACACACGAGCAGACTGCCTCTTGACGCAGATGAGCACAGCGCGGAATACGGACGGACACATGCCACATGTATCCTGGGCAGTGTGCGAAATACCTGTCAGTATTTGGGGGTGGTCCCCATCTCTGAATTGTTCATTACAGAGTCAAATGTGAAAAAAAAAAAAAAAAAAGAAATGACGATGGATGCCACAGACTGCCTAAATTGAACAGGCCCTATTCAGTTGATTCAACTTGAACTGTTAGGAGCCTCGGCCTAAGAAGCGCTTTCCCTGGGAAGAACCAAGAGCGCGGAGGACGGACCGCTCAGAACAAGATATATAATGAACCAAATTGGATTCATGCTTCTATCCGGATGCTGCACCACCTCAGAACCAGCCACAGTCCACAGCACATTCTCGCTTTTCCCCCACAGAACCAGCACACAGAGGACGGCACAGAACCACTCGGACCCAGCCCTCTGCATACCGGTCTTGCTCGCCCCTGTCTGGAACCAAGACATGGAGGACGGAGCCTCAGACCTATCTGACCAACGCGCTTGGAGGACGGCACAAGACTAATGACCGGACCCCCAATCCCTTCCTGAGGGGCTGCGAGCTACGGTGAGTTCTTTAGTGTCTTTAGTGGTGTTACCTGAACTCGGTGCTTCTGCTCCGGGCTGATGTGCGGTGAGTTCTACATGCTGCTGTTTTAAGAGTTCATGGTGACTTGAGATGAGGAACATGGGGCTGACCCTGTCCGAGTCCAGATGGGATGGCATCTGGACTATTTATTTATTTTAACAAAATTTAAGCCCCCTCAACATTTTGCTTTTCAGGCTTTTTAGGGGGTGTGATGGGTTAATCAAAGGGGTTGGATGCCCCTCCGCCTCCTATATTTCGCACACTGGTCCCGGGAGTCGCTTTGGAGACATTTGCGCTTGTTTGTGGGCTACTGAAGATGAGGGTGCGATTTGTCAACGTTTTTTAGTGGTTCTGTCGAGTGGGGGAGCGAAATGTTTTCTTCTTCCTAGGTGGGACGTGACAGAAAATAACTGAGAAGCACTGCCGCGAGATAAGGTGGAACCAAGTGTTTTCCGTTTGAGAAAAGGACATAGCATAAATATGTAGGGTTTGTGTGTTAAACATGTGTGAATGAAACAAAACACAACTCCAGGTCTGTTTGTGATGAGGAAACGACATTATAACAGATCAGAAAATAGTGTTTAATCTGTGGTAGCCATAGCTCTCCTGACTATCACATGACACTCGAAATTAAGAAGAACTACTTTATACATGTTCAGTAGAGACATTTTTTCATCTTTACAGTTTCTTGGACGTTGCAATGGCATTTTTTGATTTTCACAGCACATTACTGTAGTCAGCTGCACCGTATTATATAACACTGCGAGATGTGAGACAGAGAAGTCAATTGTTCTCCGCGTTCTGATCCCTCTAAGCACAAAAGCCAGTATTTCTAATGTTCCACCCACATTTACTTTAACCCATTGAGTCCACCTGATCACATCTCGGAGTGAAAACCTGCTCTGTGTGCTGTGGTTCTACCTGGACACAATGTTCTTCGCTGAGGGGGCCTGATGAGGGAGCAGTGGGTGGGAGCTGCTAATCCACAAATAATTATAACGTACAGAGAACAGGGACGTGGATTCGAGCTGAGAGAGGAGGTCTCAACACTTTTTTAGGATGTAGATTTCTTTGATACAGAAGAACAAGAACTGTAGTAAAGAGGGGTGAGATTTTTGACAAATATGTGTCCAAAAACTTCTTGGGTTCTTTTTAAAGACAATACAGTAGGAGGTGTATTTACGTAGGACAGTTCTGGCTTGCAGCTGCAGCCGAAACATGTAATGAAGGTGAATACATCTCCAACGGTATTGTCTTTAAAAAAGAACCCAAGAAGTTAAATGTTTGTTGTCAAAGCTTGAAGTTAAAGGTGCACTGCATAACATTTCAGGTGTAACTGTTCATCTCCATGAAGATACAGGAATGTCTGAAATGTTCCAAAGTAGGGCTGTGCCGAAAACCGAAAGATCGATAGATTGTGATCTCTACTTTGGTCGATCGCGATGATAAGGCATGTGCATTTTAATCGAGATGTCTACAGCCAATCATGTGTCAGTAAGAGCGCTTGGTGCTGACCAGGATTTACGCTCTTGTTTAGGAAGAAGCAGCTTGAGTCTCTTTGGCTACGTTCAGACTGCAGCCTGAAGTGACCCAAATCTGATTTTTTCGCCCCTATGCGGCCTGTATCTGATTTTTTATCTGAACGGCACAGATCCGATTTTTTTCAAATGTGACCCAGGCCACTTGAATATGTGGCCCTACACTTTAAAGTTTAAAGTTCACACTGGAGATCACATACAAGTCGCATTTAATTGGAAATGTGAACAAAAAAAAAAAAAAAAAAAATGGATTTCGCAAAAAAATCTGAATTGAGCATTAAGCCCTGCAGTCGAAACATAGCCTTTGTCCCCTCACGTGTTCACGAGTTTTGACTTAAATTTGCACAATTTGGCTATAAATCCAGTCTCTCTCTTCCACAGCTCGTCATTTTTTCTCCTCTTTCTTTCTTCTTTCCTTCCTGTGCTGCTTCTCGTCTTTATAATCCGAGTTATGGGAAGTAAACAACTGTTTTCTCACCGTTTATGAGTGAAAAGTCCTAATTTAGTGCAAGGGCATGCATTTAGGGTGCTTTCACATCGACAGTAGTTGGTGCACACTACTGTTTTTTAGTTCCATTCGAACTAAAAGCTCTTAGTCCAGGCTCCAAACGAAGGGTGATGGAGCCTTTTCAGTCCGGGCACCTCGGCTTTGTTACACCCTGCCTGAAGAAATAAGGCTGCACCATCACAAATTTTTATGGTTTGGCCTTCCTTTACCTGGTTTTAGCTTGATTTTATTCCTTATTTCTTTGTATTCTATTTCTTTTTATTTATATATTATGATTAATTGAATTGTTTGCATCATTGTCTGTTTTTGTACGCCTTCTGTATGCTGTTTTTTTTTTACTTTTTGTATTATTCTTTGCTGCTTGTGCTTTATAAATAAAAATGTATTATTGACATTATTATATCCACAGAAACTAGCAGGTGACGGACCTTCAAAAAAAAAGTTACGTTTTAATGATGAATTGGATGTCTTTAAGATCAGTCAATTCCGTGCATCGTCCTTGTTTTAAATAAATATACACTCACCATCTCGGTTTAGTCCTGGTTTGGAATTAGTTCAGCCATGATGTAGACCTGGTTTAATCCTCTTGTCCTGGTTTAGTCCTGGTCTAGTGTCAGTTTTGTGGCATTAAGAGTGAGGCTCGATCTAGTTACCCTCTGGTCCGAAGTCGCAATCTTACACAAACCTGCCAGTGTTGCCAAATATGTGGAAAAATCTACTGTAGATGGAGATATTTTGAGATAATTTTGGAAGAAATGTCACCATCCTTATCACAATATTATAGTTCGGGTTATAACGAAAACAGATGTAAGAAATTAAGTTACGACTGGTGAGCATCAAATGAGAAGCGAATGAATGCTACATAATGTTTAAAGTTTTGAATCCTGCCGTAGGACTGAGAGATATTTGGACTTTGCTGTGTCCAATTTTAGAGGATTTACAGTAATCCATGTCATGAACAAAGTGTAACATATAATTTCACTGAAGCGTTAATAAAAAGTGAAAACCTTTTTATGAGAAATGACTAGATTAATGATTAGACAGTACATTTTCAGGTGGGCGGGGCCTTGGACGGACTATGAAGTAACAAAAACTCAGATAGAGATGAACAAAATTAAGCTTAAAGGTCCAATATTACACAAAACTGACTCTTGTGAGCTTTAAACCATGTTATAATGCTGTTACCTCCTCGAAAACAAACCTGGAGCTTTGTTTTGTTTCATTTACACGTTTGAATAACCTTTTATTATCAGTCTGTCTGCATCTCCAAAGCTCAAAATGCTGTATTCCACCTTGTGATGTCACGTAGTAGTAGTTTTGAAGTTCACAGCTTTTACCTTTAGTTCAGAAGAGATTTGTAATCACGGGGCTGAAATTTTCGATTCTAATGAAGGTGCGCGGAGTTTAAAAACACACTGGAGCACCCAAAATATGTTGAGTTTGTGGGAATGAAACAAAACACAACTCCAGGTAAGTTTTTGATGAGGAAACAAGATTAAAACATCGTAAAATAGTGTAACATGGACTCTTTAAGTTAACTAAACAACTTTATAGTGGTAAAAAACGTAAATAAAAGCTAAAAAGATTTGATGATTTGTTTTATAAAGTGCCAAGTTCAATATGAAATGTCTTACAAAACATCGTCATATCTCCAGCCCAAACCATCTCCCCTCTCCTCTCTCGTCCTTCCGTGTCGATACAGAGGTTTGAACAGCAGGGGGCGGCGGTCGGAGCATGCAGTCGGAGAGTTTTGAAGTCCAGTTATTGCAGATGAGGGGGGGGGGGGGTCGTGGCGTGTGGTGGGTGCACTGTTACAGGTCTAGGGGGCGCTGTAGGGTGTTGTTATTGTCCTCGTGGTCCTCACAGCTCATGGGGTTTCTGCTGATGACCAGCTCCAGTCTGTCCCCGGCCTCGGTGATGAGAGGGACGGCCAGGCAGCAGTCAAAGTCTCGAGTTCGCACGTGGTTCACCTGCAAACGCAGAAAATACAGATACAGAAGAGGCAAGATTATGTACAGACATTAGGGCTTGGTAATATCATGACACAAATCAAATAAAAAAAACCTTTGCGCTTAAAGAATGATACTGCTCCTATTGATCTCTGAGTGAGTGTCAGAAGGACTGAACCAATCGCAATAAAGTATGAAGAAGATAGCTTTAATTACCATATTTTTCGGACTACTGCGACTTATACTCCAGCGCGACTTATATATTAAAATGTTCACATTGACAGACTCAAGACGGCACTCTAGTCTTGTGTGTCAGTATCTCCTGCTCCTGTTACTCTTGTACCACTGACACTTCTACTGAGCATGTCTCCTGCAAATAGTGATATATTCAGCTGCAGAAAGAAAGTTTGGAGTGAGCCAGAAACTGAGGGACTGACGAAAAAGCGGGGATGGAGAACACAGCTTCACGGCAACCGGGAGGGTGCACTATGAAACTTTCCTGGAAGTCACTGGATGGATCGACAAAGCCTGGACTTCAGTGACACCGAAACCATCCTGTTGGGATTCAGAAGGGCTGGAATAATTCTAACTGGAACTGATGCGTAGTAGGGAGCATGTTTTGGTATTTTTGGTTTACTAAATTATTTTGTTATAGAGCTACAGTTTTGTTGTTTGTTTAGAAGAAGGAAACTCGTTTATGCGACACATTTGACATTTTCACTGTTTTGATGATTAACACGTTTGTTTCATATGAACTTTGCACAAGAAGTGGTTTAACAAAGACTTTCAGCATCACAGCCACTATTTACCCATTATTTTTTATTGAACCGTATTGAATCAATTTGAAATGTATATCGTATTGAATCGTATTGAATCGTAAACTCACTGTATCGAGATATGTATCGTATCGTGGCTTATGTATCGAGATATGTATCTTATCGGCAAATTCTGAATGATACTCAGCCCTAATGATGAGTCTGACGACAGCTGCACAGAAGAGGAAGCGGCGCTCTGTTATAGTCATGGAGTTTTTCAGAAGTGACACAGTGGATGAAGAATTCAATTTAGTGATTTAGTGATTTGAGTGAGATGGAGAGTTTGGTAAACTTGTTCTGTTCTATTGTTTATGTTATAATTATCTGAAGAACTGTTCATATGTGACGTTAACAGCCTGTTGTTCTCTGTTCTATTGTTATTATTAGAACTTGCCTTTCAAGATGAAATGTGGGTTCCTGGTCTCTGATTTTATAAAATTAATTTCCCCCAACTTATATATACATATAAACAAGACTAATATATGTTTTTTTCTTCTTCATTACGCATTTTTGGCTGGTGCGACTTATACTCCAGAGCAATTTATAGTCTGAAAAATGCAATACTTCTTCAAGGCAATATAAAGATACTGTGTACATAAATGCGATCTGGCTTCAAGTAAATGTGATATAATTCTTTTTGGGAGATTGTTGCCTCAGCAGCCAGTCCTGTCTATATTCTGTTTGAATCCAGAAGGGACTGGAACCAGACCACAGAGTGTGAAAAACCTCTGTCCAAACTTGAGTCAGTCCAGCGGCAGCTTCTAACTTGTCTCACGTGTCTGTGTGCAAGGCATCTCTTCTTGAAAAATCTTACAACATTCAGAACAAAATGAATAACGTCTTTTAGCTGAGATGCGTAATAGTTTGGTGTTTCAGTTTTTGATTCAGCTGTTTCTCAGTCCTGTTTTTTGTTTTGTTTTTTCAGATTTTATATGTGTAACCAGCCGTGTTTATTTTTGACGCAAACAGAGCATTGGTTAATCCTGGGGATGTAACAATAACCAAAATATCTTGATATCACATAGTCCAAAGTTTCTCAATAATATCGTGGATCATCACAGTATATGAAATTACAAGTTTCTTTGCTTGAATTAATTGTTAGGTGCAAAAACCAGAAGGAACTACATCGACCATGATCCTTTGCTCCGTTTTGGTGCAAACTACAAGAAGAAATAACAGTTCTAAGCACTTTTAAATCTTAGTCCTTTGAATTAAGGCATTTTAAGAGGAAAAAGTAGCATATTCACAATTTTGTTAGCCTCCACAAAATATCGCAATAAATATCGTACTGTGAGATTTGGATATTGTTACATCCCTAGTTAATCCACTTGTCAATCACACCCTCTGAAATCAGGGAGACAGGATAGGGCTCCAGATTCACTCGTCTTTGTTAAGTTTTGTCAAAGTGTGTGGTTCTGATTGGATAGTAAAGGGAATTCATACAATTACTTGCAATGACTTAATTCATAACGAACAAATTGTTTATGCTTCATTTCATACATAAAACAGATTTGTTCATTCCAGGTGCGGTGAGCGCTGCTGCATTTACGCTTTCAACTGTTCTAATGTCAGGGCCTGTTTATACGAGAACACTTGCCGGTAAAAACAACAAATATTTTATCAGCAGTGCCTTTCGTTTAGATGGTGACGGTGTTTTGGGGGCGTAAAAACACAAAAATCTGAAGCCACCCTCCAGAGTGGAAAAGTAGAATAAGCTCCGCTGTAGCGTTTTCATCTACACTGCCCAAGACGCAAAACTCTAGTCAGATCTGCTCACGTCGCGTACACATTTACGTCACATACTTCATCACCGAGCATCACTACCGAGCCGCCTGGCATCGACCCAATCGAATACCACACACTTTTGCGTCAACGTATGGACGCAGATTTCCTCCCGAAAACGCTCGTCTAAACACAGAATAAAAAAATTAAGATGTGACGCCACTTTTACGTCTTCTGTTCAGACCGTCGTCATATAAACGCAGCCGCTAACATGTATTCTGTTCAAATGAAAAATGGAAGAAAAACAGGATCAACACAAACAAATATGGAGAGGACCATGGCAGCTTTTAGATCACGTTTGTTGGAAAAGAGCCAAGAAAACAAGATAAGAGAAGTGATTATTTGTTTTGCAGGCCTTAAAAAAAAAAAAAAAATCTGCTAGAAAAAATAAATAATAAAATAAAAAAAAAAAATAATATAAATTTAAATAAAATAAAATATAAAAATTTTAAATTAAATTAAAAAAAAAAAAAAAAATTAAAAAAAATATATAAAAATACAATACAATAAAATAAAATAGAATTGAATTGAATTAATAATAAAATAAAATAAAAAAAATCTAGTATTGCTAGTATTGTTGAGCTGTGTCCACCACTGTCTCCAGCAGTCAGCTCATGTACCACTCCATTGCTAAGACTCCACATGTTCTGATGTTCTGTAGAGACAGATCAGATAACGGACGAACAGAAGCCTCCACGTGTATCTGTCTGCGTCTAAAACATCGATCATAAACGAGCCGTAACCCCCACCCTCACCTGTAGAATGCGGTCGTACGGTCTGAGTCCCGATCTGTCCGCCGGGCCGTCCTCTCGGATCATGTTCACGTAAACTCCCTTCTCCAAAAAACCATCAGACACGCTGAAGCCGAAGTCATCGCTCTCCGGGTCCTTTATCACTGTCACCTGCAGGGGGCGCAAGAGAGGCACATCAGCCATCGGATTCTACAATGTGATGATCGCACTCGCAGACGGGGACAAGAGACGGTTTATTGAGATGTTCCCTTGAAACACAGCAGTTGATGTTTTTCAGTAAGTGGAAGTGTAAAAGATAAAACAAACAAGTCAGAATCCTGTTGTGAAAACCTTTGCTTATGAAACAGATTATGGATGCAGTGATTACATAAAAACACAATAAATAACACTGTAAAAAGTGTAGCTGTAAAGTAATAAAAGTAGTAATGTCACGGCCTCCTCTGATAATGTGGGGGCACAGGAAAAACAAGCAACACTAAAGAAACAAGAACAGTTAATGCACCTACAACACAAGGATTAGAAGTATGTACTGTATACTTTTCAGTTTTATATAAAGTGTTCTCTCTCACTCTGTCTCTTTCACACACTCATGCACGTGCACACACACACACACACACACACACACACAGGGGGATTTCTGTGACCGTTACATAACCGTCCATAGTAACAGGCCTATACAAAGACATTATACATGACTCAACAATGTATACACTGCAGTGCGCTGAGATTTAAGTTGTCAGTGGAAAGTTCTGTATTTATATTATGACGACGAGGGCACTTAAGGCGAAGGAGCAGGTGTCTGAGCACTACCTGGTCTGTCTCTGCACCTCCCTGGTGTGGAACATTTTGTATTGGGTGTAGGGATGTAACAATAACCGGAATATGGTGATATCGTATCGTCAAAGTTCTCACAATAATATCGTGGGCCATCACAATATATTGAATTACAAGTCTCTTTGTTTAAATTAAGAGTTATGGTGCAGCAATAGCTAAAAAAAAAAAAAAAAAAAGAAAAAGACTACATAGGACTACATAGACCATGATCCTTTGCTCCATTTCAGTGCAGACAACAAGAAGAAATAACAGTTTTAAGCACTTTTAAGTCTTAGTTCTTTGGATTAAGTCTTGTCAAGGCATTTTAAGAGGAAAAAGTATCATATTAACAGTTTTAGCTGTTTAGCCTCCACAAAATATTGCACTAAATATCGTACTGTGAGATGTGTATCGTAAAAATATCGAGAAATTTAAACATTCCTAATCGTGAGCTTCCCACCATATCCTGAGCTTTCCCACAATATCGCAATACATATCGTACCGTGAGACTTGGATATCGTTACAGCCCTAATTGGAACCCATTCTTTAAGCTCACGTCTGCCTGGGGTGTCCATGTACTTCACAGTGACACATATATTGTCATACATATGTACATGATAAATGCATGTGTACAGTATACATGTGTGTATGTAGTACATGTGAAGCATGAGTATATATATATATGTGTGTGTGTGTGTGTGTGTGTGTGTGGGTGAGTATGTGTATGAACATATATAACAGGAGTGTCAAACTCAAATACACAGAGGCCAAAATTAAAAACTGGGACTAAGTCGTGGGCCAAACTAAATATTTATTGAAAAATTTCTACAACATCTGCATGTTTTCTCTTCTTTTGATAGATGTAATGTTTAAACCTTTTCTAATTAAAATAAATGTTTAATAATAGTTTTGCTTAAACAATGAATCCAGAACAAGCATAATAATAATAAAAAAATAAATAAATAAAAAAATCTGTATCTTTTAAACTCCTTTTAAATCTTTTTTTGTTTTGTTTTGTTTTCCTTTTTTTTTTTTTCACAAGCCAACAACCAGTCAAAAATAACAGCTTACTTCAATGAAAATCCAATCTTTCAACTATGAACAGTCAAAAATCATAAAGAAAACATTCATCCAAGCTCAGTTTGCTAGACTATGATATCCTCTGATGCACATGAGTCCAAAGCAGATACAAATACTTGGCATCTCTTCTTAGATACAAGTTCATCAAAGTAGTTGTATTAGCAGTAGTAGTATTAGCGGCGCATAAGACATACTGGTGATGCAGCTGGCAGATCAGCTCTAATACATATTTGAGATGAGCTCGTGGTATTAATTATAATAAGTATAATTATATTGCAAGCCAAATTTTGCCCCCGGGCCTGAATTATTTTTAAGCTATTATTGATTATCTGTTTTATTGTATGTTACCATTTCCTGCTGTTCTGAAATTGTGCGTTGCAACACTGGAATTTCCCCACTGTGGGACTAATAAAGGCATATCTTATCTTATCTTATCTTATCTTACTTTGACATGTCTGATATACGATGTGAAAGCGACATTTAATTGAAAATGTATTTCTCCTCATTATCAATCATCACCTCCATATTTGCTTTGGTTCATGTGAGAGTTTCACTTTTGGTTTCACTCAAACCTGTTACTGGTGATTCATCCGCCAACCAGTGGGTGTGCCCTATCGCAGCAGCGCAAGTCAAGATGGATTCTTGTGACTTTTTGTGCATTTTTGTTCATGTCATTTTGGATCAATCTGCAGCCATTATTCATTTATTTATTTTAGCATTATTATTTTTTTTAGTAAATGTTTTTTTTATTGCATTTTTAGACATAAAAAACGTATCCCCACAACTGAGAGACACATGCACAGACACACATACACACACATACACACACCTACACACACTGCCCACTCAACCACACAGTGACATATGTGCAAAAGTGCACGTAGACCAGCTCACACCTCACACCTCACACCCGCACACTGGAGCATGTGTTACTGAGCTCAAGAGTCGCACTCACAGAAGGAAAGACATTTAAGAATGTGACACTGAACAAGAAATGTACAAACTTATTAAGTGCAGCCACTTTTCTGTGTCTGCTGCTTTTTACACTTTTGTGAAAACAAAACAAATTACTTTTTGAGATTGAAAACACACACAACACGCACAACACACACAAAACACACAAACTACTAGTACACTTATAAATAGCACTTAGTCCACTTGTCTTTGTTATGTTTACAAACCATGTCATGTTAAGTTCTATGTTTTTATGTCTTGTTTCCGCTGTATATGATTTGTCACTCTGATGTTTGTCTGTTTGCATTAATAAATAAAATCAATATTTAAAGTGGCACTGACTTTGTGCAGTTCGAGTGGAGTGGGGGAGATGATCCCCTGCATTTCCTCTTTGATCCGGCGGGACTCCCAGGTGCGCTCGGACACTCGGAGCGACGCCTTGGCTTTAGGGTCTTGGAAGTGCAGTGGAGACTGGGCCTCCTGACGCAGGTGCGCCCCCTGGTGGAGCAGCCCGTCCTGCAGGTACAGAGGGTCCGAGAGCAAGCCATCTACAGAGGAAATACATAGTTCATCTATCAAATAAAATTGAAGGACACTTTTTTTTTTTTGTTTGTTTGTTTGTTTGTTTGTTTTTGTTTGTTAATTATTTATTTCAGAAGTATTTGAGACATTCGTTTTGTATGCATGGAGATGTGTGTTCCACAGTGTGGCATTAGACTTATCAATCTCTATGGAGACAAACGAGTGCCCAGACCCTGCTTATTGTAAGAATGTAGTTGATACCACTCTCTCCAAACCAAAGCTAATCTTTCTGAAGTGTGAGTGCTGTGACAGTCTTGCCTTGGTGCAGCTGGTCTTCCTGGAGCAGGTGGGCCTGGTCGTGTAGGTGGGTCTGGTCATGCAGGTGCAGCAGCGCCCCCTGGTGGAGCAGAGAGTTCCTCCTCAGAGGACTCATCCTGCTGTGGCTGAGCACAGGCTCAGGAGGAGCCTTGTTCCCCTCCACTCCTAAACTGATGGCTGAGCCGGTCATTATGGACGCCTATGGGAAAGAAAACATGTATAAGTACGTGTTTTTGTTATTATTATAATTATATCATGTCATGTAATGACAACAAATGTTGAATATAATGATTTATTTTAGTCCCTAGACCCATTAATCCGCATTGTAACAATATTCATTATAATGCCCCCATCTACATATGACTGTGCTAGAGAATGTTGTGGTGTCTTTCCTGGACCTCGATCTCTCGCAGCAGCTCAGACTGTCCACACGTCTCTAGGTCCTCCAGAGCCTGACACCAGAAGCTGTCCTCAGGGTCCACCATCAGCCCATCAGGGGGGTTCAGGAAGCTACAGAGACACAACACAAAGCCCATACAGTCTAATGTTAATGCTTTTATTTGTATCACATAGTTTCACATTCTGCTGCCACTGGAAACAATGTTCTGTCAAAACCCAGTGCAAGCAAAAGAGTTAAGCTCAGTATAAGGTATTTTAAGTAGTTTGAAGATTGAGACTTCATAATTTGAACTGTTTCTAACTTTTTTTTTTTTTTCCCCCAGCAATTCACAGATATTTATTTAAAGGTCCGATATTGTGAGCTTTAAGCCAAGTTATAATGCTGTTATCACATCAAAAACAGACCTGGAGTTGTTTTGTTTCATTCACACATGTTTGAATAAACCTTATTAATTATTAGTTACACATGTCTGAATGAAAAAAACAAACAAACAAACAAAAACAAAAAAACTCAAGGTCTGTTTGTGATGAGGAAATAACATTATAACATTAATCAGAAAATAGAGTAATATGGGCCCTTTAAATACTGCACAGGATTTCTACCTGCGATGCAACAATCCAGGGAAAATTCAATCAGAGAGCAAAATGACTGTTACACTGTCATTGTCATATATATTACTCAGGTAGTCTGAAGTATACAAAATAGTCTTAAAACTACTCCAATAATGTTGAATTTAATAGAAAAATAAATGTAAACATAGCCCAATATGACTTTTATGATTTTGCTTTTATTAGATTTTTACCGGTTTTATTGTTTTAGGACAAGTATGATCCATCATTTAATTTTTTTTAAGCAGTTTACCTTTTGTTGTCTTCATTTTATGTTCGTGGAAACTGCTTTGATTGTAAAACGTGCTATAGAAATAAAGTGGATTTGGGTTTGGATCCGTTTAGTTTGACACTCATTTCCATGCGTTAAGTCGTCGAGATCCCCGTTCCTTTATTTGAGCCTGATCATGACTAATGTTTAACACGCACATAGAGATCTGACAGCATGGAGTGTACATTAGCGGTGCTCCTCCGGGCCTGTGAGCGTTACATAACCGAACTGCTAGTATAGGCTTAAACTCCCCATTACTCATCACTGACACTGGGGCATTCACGCTCAGCTTATAGAGAAAAACACTTGTAATGCGGTGGCGAAAATACAAGCTCGGATCTGCTGACACATGGGCCGCGTCTCAATTCTCTTTCCTGACTTCCTTCTCATTAATGCCTCTCCTCCATCCAACGTTTTTCAGCTGTCAATAAAATGTGTCATATTAAGACTCCATTCACATTGAAATGAATCCGCGTATCACCTGTGGGTTTTTTCGGAAGGTTCAATGCGTGTCCTAAAAAGAAGCACAGGAGATGGAGAATCCGAGAGAACAGGACACTTTATTTCGTCATTTTCCATTGAGAGATTCAAGTTGATTACCAAGTACAACTGCCACCCCGGACGACGCCTCTCCCAACTCAAAATCAGGGGTAGCTTTATACTACATCTTGACAAAACATTAACTTGTTGATTTAGCATATACAGCAAGAAAATGAACAATACTGCTGACCCAGTGCACCTTATCATGGGTGGAAACATGCCACGGGGTCCACATATGTCAGTTTTGCTGCTTCGTGGCACTCAAAGTCCAGAAAAACATGTTCTTTATGGCACTCAAAGTACAGAAAAAAAAATGTTATATAGACCTATAGATAGTCATACGTGTTTTCCACCCTGTTGTCATTCCAAAGTCCATAATATTGGGTGAATTAGCATGGCCACCATATAATATTTCCCACACACCGTATCGGAAACGATCTGCGTCCAGACACGTCGTTTCTGAGTCCGCAAGCCTTCCCTATCCACACAGCTTTGAGCATATTTGTTTGCATTTTACAGAGACGAAACTTAAAACCGCATGGCTCATTTGCATAAACTGAGCGCTCAAAAAACAGCTCGCTATTGTGCGCTGATGCGGTTCAGCTTCTGTCGGACTAAAGGACACGACTCAGTGGAATATGAGTGTTCTTTCTGTGACAGAGGGGTGTTCTGCTGATGGTGAGTCTGTTCTGTGTTTCTATCGCGTTGGAGATGGCTCATGTTAGAGATTATACTTCTGCAAGTCATACACATAGACCTTACACAGCAAAAACTGGAGGGTTAAAATTTTAGGGTAAAATATTTCAGAATTGTTTTTAACACCAAAAGTGTTATTTTAACTATTTCAAAGTTAAATGGGGGTTGGAGTTGGGGTTATTTGCCAGAGTTGATGTGGTTGAGGTTAATTCAACTTCCTCTAGTGTTAATTCAACTGCTCTTAGTGTTAATTTGGCTCCTCCCATTCACCACTTCAAACTCTTGTGAGAGAAGACCAGTTTGAACCAGTTTTGTACATAATTTCATTTTAAATGAACTAAAATAAAGTAAAAATAAAATGCCTCTGTGTGTTCTTTAGCTAAATCAGGATAACTCTACAAAGTGTTATCTGTTTACTCTCAAAACGTGAATATAACTCTGGATTTTGGGGTTAAACAGGAACTTTGGTCCAGTGTTACTTAATTAACATTTCCAAAAATGTTAAATTAACTCTAGAACAGATTGGACTCATGTAAACTCTGAGAAAATGTTAAAATTGATTATGTGAGAGTCAATTTTAACACTCCACTTTTTGCTGTGTATATATGATTATATTCTAGCCTCTTTGCGTTTTGGTGGTGAATTACTTCGCGGCGCATAGGCCTACATCAGCATTTTCAGGCGTCAACACAGTGCTGGATCAAATCTGTACTCAGATGAATTCGTGGGAGTTGGTGGCACCAGATTGTTCCGTCTCTGGAGCCGTTTTCAATCGGACTAATGTGGACGAACACTTCATCCACAACAAAAACGACTCGAATATGTACTAGTGTGGACGGGGCCTAAACGGTGTCCCAAAGAAAACCACGGTACGAAGGAAGGAGTAAACCTAAGAGAAACTTCAGGAGCAGACAGCAGATAAAAACTTTCAAATCAAACTTTATTAATCTCAGTGAGGAGTTTATATCCTCTGTTTTGTTTCCTCTGTGGGCAGGACTTTCTCACCCATTTCCTGCAGAATCGAGGGGAGGAATCAAGGAGAAGGAAACGAGGAAAGACAAATGAGACGCGGCCACAGTCTGTTTAAATCAGACATGTCAAACTCAATTTATTTTTCATAATTTGGCCTGCGATATAATTATATTTGGCCCTCGAGATCATATCAAATATATATTAGAGCTGGCCCACTGGCTACAGATAGACTATAGAGACATTATTTATCTAAAATTGTGTTATTATTTTATATTATGCTTGTTCTGGATTCAATGTTTAAGCAAAACTATGATTAAACATTTATTTTTAAAAGAAAAGGTTTATTTACATATCTTGAAAGAAGAGAAAACATGCAGATGTTGTAGAAATTTTTATAAATATTTAGTTTGGCCCACGACTTAGTCCCAGTTTTTAGTTTCGGCCTCTGGGAATTTTTGTGCGAGTTTGACTCCCCTGGTTTAGATTAAAGAGTCCATGTTGTTCAAAATCAACTTTTTGGAGATGTTTTTATAATATTGTCTCATAACGAAAAACATAACATGGATTGTGTTTTAATAACTTTTAGTGTGTAAAGTGCGTATGACAGAGGTTTATGATTCTCTAATTTTGACTTAATTTGGTGGCATAATATCCATTGTAAATATAAATTATAGTTTTACACAAATCAAGAAACAATTTGCGAAGAAAAGTTGAAAATTACAAGAAGTTGAAATCACACGAGGGAGAGTTCTATCCAAAAGTTCATTTCAAGTACAGTTTATACACATGAAACTTTTTTTTTTTCTGACACTTGAAACATGATTTCAACAAAATAAAGGTGTTTTCTTATATTTGTATTTGTCAGATAATAACTTCTGTGTACATTAGAGAAGTTTTGCTGCGTAACGGTTATGAATTCCCTGGTGTGACATCCCGATTTCATAGCCTGATTCACTTTATGGAAACCGTCTGACCTCGTAGCATTAGGATTCATTCACTCGATGGAAGGCAGGTACTTTTTAATTTAACCAGTCACTGATATTTGGTCGTGATGTATGTAATGCGCCGCTAACGGGACTAACTAGTAGATTAAGCTTTTCCCAAATCCCGCAGGAAGAAGGGCAATAACGTCTTTCCCCTTGATAAAATTCACCAAACATTCTCTTTGTTTCGGCTTTAAATCCTCGATCTCGGGAATCGTTGCAAACACAGAATGTCCGTCTTCGTTTACATCCATCTCGACCGCTTTGTTTACTGTTGTGCTGTAACACAAACAAGGACTCAGACATGGCTTCACAGCTCTTCTCTGATTGGCCGGAGCTTGGTCTACAACTTCTGGGCTTCTTGCAAACCGTCTAGTGTTTTCCGATTCCTGACCTAGTCGTTGGACAGAAATGAAATTGAGCGGAGGCACCAATTTCCAACCAGGACGTACAATTTTAAACCTAAAAAACTGCTAAATTAGAAAAACGAATGAACGAGAATTTGCAAAAATGTAAATGATTTAAGTGTGTTTTAGTAAAATGAGTGGTCTAACCTGTCACAATCACTTTAAACTGATTTAATCACAATGTCTTGCTCGGAGCTAAAAGGTATCGTATTGAGTCTTATTTAAACTGCACTTAGGAGATGCACTTGGATTTGTGTCTGTGCCCTGTTATTGCAACAGTTGGAAGAGGAAATACACCCACTTCTAATTTTACCTTGATGACAACTAACAGACGGCAATTACAAAAGTGACAGTAAAGTAAATACAGATTTCAGTCGTTATATTGTGATGAACTAGTGGGGTCTGCGTTAACAACCGGGGCTCTGCAAACTGAACGTCTTCCAGTAAACTTTTGGAAAGACATTAAAGATGCACTGTGTAACTAATACTAATAATAAAACACTGGGTTTATACAAAGTCGTTCATGTCAACCAAAGTGCTTTACAGTTTCCTGCATTATTCCCTCAGTGATGGGAAATTGTAGCCACAGCTATTTCAGACATCGTTGTTTTCTACGCTCCTTCGTGCACTCTGAGGTCTGAGGGCCAGCTCCAACTTGTTGTCCCAAAAATTGCCGGGGTAAAACCGTGGTGACCCTGGTGTGACCGGGCATTTTCTGTGGTTGGCCCCAAACTTTGGATCGCTCTTCACCCGAAAATAAAACCGCACCTTCAGTCGATTCTTTTAAGGCTCGTTTAAAAACACACTTTTTCTCACCGGCTTTTAACATGGCATCAGAATTTGTGTGGTCCTCTGACTGTTTTTTAAATTTATTTTACAGTGGTCCCTCATTTATCACGGGGGTTACGTTCTAAAAATAACCTGTGATAGGTGAAATCCACGAAGTAGACAACTTTATATTTTACAATGATTATATCTCTTTTAAAGCTGTAAAACCCCTCACCACACACTTTATACACTTTTCTCACACAGGACACTTTCAACCCTTTTGGCATCCTTCTTAAAACGTATCGCTGCTGTCATCCTTTTGTTATTTTCCTCCTTTATGTAACGAACCGAAGTTTAATTTATTCCGTAATGGAGTCCTACAGCGCAAAGTCCTGCACGGGTCAATTTTTGGAGACCCGCACCCGCGCAGTACAGCACCGCACCCGCCCTTTAACCCGAGATTATATCAAACTTTTGCGCTGCCTACTCCACGGACTGAACCAAGACTAAACCAGGACTAACCTAGGACTGATTCCAGGAGTGAAGAGGAGGACTAAACCAGGACTGAACTAGGACTAAAACAGGACCAAACCATGACTACACCAGAACTGAACCAGGACTCATGGTCGAGACAGACTCGAAGGTGCCCGCAGGAGAAAGGACCGACGCAGAGCTCCGCACCTCAGGGTAAGCGCGGCCGTCGCCCGATTGCGCTGCACTTCAGAATCGCATTGCTAGAGATCGAATATTTATGTAAATTTGTCAAACTGAACACATGAGACACGGCAGGGGGAGATTGATTGACAATGGTCTACAGTCCTTTATCCAATCAGGACGCAGGGGGAGGAATGCAATACGCGCTCATAAGCCATAAAAAAAAACAAAAAAACATGTAAAACTGCACAAAAAAAATTCACAAAACAGTGAGACCGCGAAAGGTGAACCACGATATAATGAGGGACGAATGTATTTGCTAATTTTGTATGTTTTTATTGACTTGCTCATTTATTCATTTTAAGATTTATTTGATTTAATGTCTTAATTTATATTGTGCCTGCTCTGTGCAGTACTTTGGAGACTTTGTGTTAGTAAAATGTACTATACAAATAAAGTTGGACTGGATTGGAACACTCACATACACACAGCTTTCATACTAACTCATTTCACTGGAGATCCGCCAGCAGTTTATGTACAACATGCACAGAAAAAAAAAAAAAATGTAAATGGGGCTGCCTGTCCTACTTTCTGTCCTGTAACCTGGCTTCATAGGAGACTCTTGTCCGTGGTTGGGCAAAGTTAATAAAAATTGTGGAACATTTCAGAGATTCTATTCCAAGGAAACTAATAACCTCTTTATAGAAAAGCTACACAGTGCATCTTTAATCAAAATACATACAAAAGTGAGACCAAATAATACTCCTGTTACAATTATCATTGTCATTTTAACTCTAAGACAAGATTTCTTCAGTGACTCCACAGTTCCCATGCGTCTTAAACCCAGAGGAAGTGTGCAGATTACAGTGACATTTGCATGTGGGATGTAATTATTGTGAATGCACACACGTCATTGATTAGTGCTGTAATCCGGGTTAATCCCTCAGATTGAAGTGCTCAATCAAGAGGCAGCGGGTTTGTTCACAGACCGCACACTATCACACCCAGATGGTGACCAAGCACTTTTTAAACCGTGAATAAAGCTTTACCCTGGAGCTTTGTCCCAGTCGTCTTCACTGAAGCCTCCGTCACCGAAAGGGTAGTTCTTCCTTCGTCCAGGAGGGGGCGTGTTACCGCGGCTCTGTTTAGCGCTGCGCCATTCGTGAGGGTGGAGGGCGATCCCTGCCCCCTGCTGATTGTATGGACCTGTGTGTCAATGAAAGAAATCACATTTACTGTGTAAGATCAAACTGTTATCAAAATGAGTCCTCTGTGTTTGACCCTTGAACGGCACTGGGGAAACCTGTGGGCTCAGATTGAGGATTCTTCTGTAGATGCAGAGGAAACTCATTTTGACCCAAGGTTCATGACCAGTAAGTGAAATAAAATTCCCTTTGACCCTTCACCACAATAGTCTGAGAAGAAAAAACATCTTTTCCGTGCCATCCATGGCATTAAATTTGGTTGTGCTGGTTTTTACTCCAACCACTTCACTGTGCTGTAAAATGCCCTGGAGAACTGGGGGTGCTGTTTCATTATTTATTGACATATTTTTATTAAACAGGAGAGTCCAAATGAGATCAGAAATCAAAATTTTTCAGGGAGTCTCTCACCCCAAGACACTTCCTCGAACTCCTGGGACCCCAAAGCATTCCCAGACAGGTGTCCTGGGTCTTCCCCAGGACCTCTTCCTGGTGGGACATGAACACCTTGTCAGGGAAGGGTCCAATACAGATGCCCTCCCCTCATGTGCTCTCCTCTCCATGTGAAGGAGCAGCGGCTCTACTCCGAGTTCCTCCCGAGACCACGCAGTCACTCTCTAGATAAAACTCATTTTGACCGCTTATATCCATACATCTTAAAACAGTTCTGAAGAAATATTAAGGCTGTAACATTTCCTATATTATATTTATTTATTTATTTACTTTATTATTAAACATTACTCATAAGACACTAGGCAGTCCTCTGACAAATGTGTGATTGTGTGTGACTGGTTTCATTGTCTCTATTACACTGATGTACTAGTATATATAGGACACATTCCTCCTTCTCACCTTGGCTGCTGAAGACCTGGTCCAGACCTGACCCGTCCCACGAGTCCATGGCAGAGTCCACACTGGGCACGGTGGTGGAGTCCACACTGGGCACAGCGGTGGAGTAGAGGGGGGAGAGTTTGTTTGTGTTCAGGCTGTCAGTCAGGTCGTCTTCAGGGTCACTCAGCTCGTTCTCTGTGGTGTCCCCCATCTCCGAGCGGCTGTCCTTCCTCTCCTCCAGATCTGGAAACACACGGGGGAGAGGAGACTTGTGTTGGATGTAGGTCACTGTGATTAGTATGAAAGGAAGGACATCTGGAGTAAAAACGTGCCGTAGCTCCATGTGACTTTCTATGACCGCTGAAGAAAAATGAACACTACCTCACTCACACTAGTTGAAAGTAAAAACACGTAACTGTCTGTTGGTGGAAAGTCAAGTTAAAACAATACTTCGGAACATTCTTCATGGCCAAAGATACATTTTATTAAAGAATATTAAAGCTAAAAGAACGGCATTTCCATTTCAAAATATGAGTCAGTTTTATGGAGATGCATAAGGATGCATGCTTTTACTTTAGTATATTTTTGGCAAAATTTTTACATACTCGGGCTTTAGTTGTAAAATAATTGGTGAGTAACAACTAGTGGATTGTATCGTGTTCTTTTTTTTGTTTCAGACTCCAGCCTAAAGTGACCCAAATCCGTTTTTTTCACCCCTATGTGACCTGTATCTGATCTTTTAATGACAGTCTGAATGACACAGATCTGATTTTTTTCAAATGTGACCCAGGCCACTTGGATATGTGCTCCTAAAACTGATACATATCCGATCTTTTGACATGTGACTTCAGTCTGAACGGTCAGGTCACATTCATCCCACCTACACGTCAGGCTCGGAGTCTCGTCAATGGAGGGAAAGTGAGGTTAGAGAGTTAGTTAACATTTGGGGGGATCGCTGTATTCACACCAAACTGGAAGGGTCTTATCGGAACTGGCGGTTTTTGAAATGATTGCCAAAGAAATGTCCAAGAGCAGCTACGGAAGATCCTAGCTCCAATGTCAACAAAAAGTAAAGAGTCTGCGAGCCAAATACAAGGAGGCTAAAGACTCAAACAAACTAAGCGGCCGTGGACGTGTAACCTGTCCACGGTCCCATTTTTACGAAGAACTGGACCATAATTTGGGAGACAAACCCAGCGTTTAGGCGACTTCCGTAAACACTGAGCATGCTCGCGGTATGTGACGTCGTCGTGTCCTCCAGTGCACATCTGTGACACTTTTGAGGGAATTTAAAGTTCACACTGGAGATCACATACAAGTCGCATCTAATCGGAAATGTGAACGACCTTGCAAAAAAATCGGATTTTGCAAAAAAAAAAAAAATCCAAATTGAGCATTAAGCCCTACAGTCTGAACATAGCCTAAGTAAAACCAGATTGTGGGCAGGGATAGAGGGTAGGTGAAATGGATTTTCTGAGCATTTACATCTCAAATATAGAACTATACAAGATTACGATTAGGGAAAACCATTAAAGTTTCCTTGGGTGAGAGTACGCCTTGTTTCCATGGAGATTTCATTTGCCTAGAATGTTTATTTGCTGTAAATGAGTTCTTATCTCCACAGATCTGACCTGTAACACCGCCTGAGAACGTCACCTGCTTGTCAGTCGTCCAGGTAGGTTCCACTCCAAGTTTTAATGTCGCGCCGTGGAACATTCCGTGCTAAGCGGTGATAGCTCCGCGGAGACACGCAGGTACATTACTCTTGTCCAAAAAAAGTTACACAATGGCCCTTTAATGAACTGCTAACGACCACAAATCATCCGTTGGAACAGGGTGTAACGGCTTATAAGGGCAAGTCAGAACAGTGGGAGACATGGAGCATTCTCGTATTTATTTTGGTCCCTGTTTCCAGATTGACAATCCTTCCACACCACAATGTTAGTCATGTGGGGAGGTCACATGGAGATAAGGCAGCTGCTATCTCCTATTATTATACACCGTGTGATTCAGGCAACTGTGCAGGCCCTGGAATCCTGCTATAATGTACGTGCACATGGACCACTAATGACAAATGAACGAGCGGACGTGGGGAGGGGGCTGTTTATTCAATATAATATTACTCATCTAGCAGCGGTCCAAGAAATGACTGAAGTAAGAGTAAAAAAAGTATTTGGAGAAACTACCTCACGCAAAAGTGTCGCTCTGGGATTAACGTCGGATTTTTTATGTGAAGTTAAACAGGCGCCGTGTGAAGGTGGAGGTTGTGCAACTGCGTGTCTGGAATATTCCATGGAAGAGCATTACCGTATTTTCCGCACTATTAGGTGCTCTGGATTATAAAACGCACTGTCATAGAATGGGCTATTTTCGAACTTTTTTCGCAAATAAACCGCACCGGACTTTAAAGGAAACACAACAGTTGGATGGGTCAGTGGGACTTTGTTTGTTCATGGTGACTCTGGGCTTTGTTCAGTTGTGGCGTGTAGGGAGGGTGCTGTCTGGGACCGCTGGATTGTCGGCGTGTTCGCAGTGACTCAGTTGTTCAGTTGTGTCTACAAGTGGCACATTGCGCTCGCTTTTTCGGGTCATTCCTTCGTTCCGTTCCTCGTCTGCGTGGAGTGATGAGTGTGGCCGGGGGTGTTTTTCGCTGCACGGTCGCTGTCTGCGCCAAGTGTTTGCGTGCGCTGTGGGTGGTGCAGCTTTGTAGTTTACTGAAGTTGTGCTGGGACAACCGAGTGGATTAGGGCGCTCTGGATTGTGGGGCGAGCAGTCGTTTTTTTGATGGGGTTGGAGGCCTAACAGCCCGGAAAATATGGTAAATTGTTTCCATGTAAACCCCTGCAAGTTACAGGTCAGATCTGTGGAGAGTAGGGATGTAACAATAACTGAAATATCGTGATATCGTATCGTCAAAAGTCTCACAATAATATCGTGGGCTGTCTCACAAGTTCCTGGTATTACAGTAGCAACAACTAATAAAGACGTTGAGTGCCTTGAAGGTGGAAAAGAAATATATGTAAAAATGTGACCATTTACCATAAAGCTACTGTATGTGACCTTTTAGACAAAAAATAGACCTTTATTTTGGTTGTTTCTTGCACTAGAATGTGTACTAAAAATGTGTACTTAATAGGGATGTAACAATAACCGACATATCCTGATATTGTATCATCAAAAGTCTCACAATAATATGGTGGGCTGTCACAATATATCACATTGCTTAATTGCATAGTTTTACAGTAGCAACAGCTTATAAACATTGGAAACTACATATCCCATGATTCATTTCAGTGCAGACAACATGAAAAAATATGTTTTTTATTTGAATTCTTGAGATTATAACGGAAATAAAAATCCAAAGAGAGAAAAGGAATTTTAATTATAAATTGGCCAAAATATATCTATGTAAGGGGGCCTTATGTTTATGTTGCACTACCACATTATTTTTGTTTTATTTAACCAAATTTGTGTTGGTGTGTGTGGTCCAGGGGAAATGGGGGGGCTTTTTTAATGCTGTTGTTTTGTATTTGTTTTGGGTGTTGTTTTATGTTTTTGCATTTTGTTTTATGTTGATTATTGTAATTTGTTAGATGTTGATTAGTTAAACGTTATATTCTGTTGTCCTTAATTAAAAACCAAACAAACACACACACACACACACACACACACAAAGCAAAAATGTGTCCTATCTACAATTACATTAGCCTCTTTAAAAATATCGCAAAATAAATATCGTAGAGTGAGATTTGGATATTGTTACATCTCTAGCGGAGAGTAAAGCCCATTCAGAGGAAGAATGCACACATTTGTTTGGCGATAAAAAGCATAAGCAATTGTATAAATGTAGAAAAATTGAGTTCAAAGAGCTCTCAATTGAACCTGCCCATTTAATTTACTGACTTTTCTAAGTGGAGAAACACAGCTCGCATGTTTCCCTGGACTCAGCTAACCAGTTCAAACGGCCACACGACGCCTGGAGCCTGAAACTGGCTCATAAACTTTAGTTGTAACCACGACTGGTGTGAATCCTCAGAGCGTGCGTGTGTGCTTATGATTTTACATTCCTCACATTGTGTAGTGAGACGCCCATGGATCACTCGTGGAAATGAACGGTGCAGTGGACACCAGGCTTAGCGGCTCTATATCGGGCACTGGACTACCCTTATGTGACATACGATAATGATAATGTATGTTGATGTGGTCATGTATCCATCTACATTTAGATTATTTAACTGTTACATCAGCCTGCCCCGGTACTACAGGTGGAAATGCTCATTTTCTGCTCTGACCTGGTACAGTCCGTCTTTCCTGTTGGTCAGTATTTATTGTACACTGCCCCTATATGAATAAAAAAAAGCATACCATACATACGTCTATAGTCTGAATGTCCTCTGCCCCCGGAACACTTGAGCTGGCTCCATGAAGCAATCCTCAAAAGTGTCATGGCTTTTTTTTTATTTTTATGACTTTTTGGCAAATAATAACACGTCTGTATCTTGTATTTTGTAGATTTTTTCAATTAAAAATGATATTTATATGAAGTATTTATATTTAAATAATTATATGACGTATTTACATTTGCTGCCCAAATTTTCATCACCTGACGAACTCGAGCTCAAACAGTGACAGTCTACGCACGCGAAGAGTTCTGTAGTGCAATTAAAGACACCAAAATGGGAGTGTTAAAGTACGAAAAGTTGACAGAGAGTGCCGAGTTTTCGAAGAACAGTGGACGACCGATTATTTTTCTGTTCAGCGTAAGGACCGTGCAGTTTGTCTGGTATGTAAAGAAAGGGTCAAACAAATCTGTTATACGGCCAACCCGACCCTGGCCCCGATCACAGGCAGGAGCGTTAATGTGGCCCCCAGAGAAAAAAGTTTGGTGACCCCTGGTGGAGACATAAAATGGCCACACCTCCACCTGTCTGTCTGCATACATACTACAACCACAAATACTTAACCTGCAGATAGAGGACATGGACATTCTCTGTATATGGACAGCTTATACAACAGCAGGTCCTGGGCTTAAGGTAGGGACCATCCAGATCAGAGAGAGTCACGGTGGAAACCCAAAGGAGAGAGTCATGTGAGGCTCATTCTGCTTTCTGATTGGATAATCGTCTTGAGAACCAAAACAGCAAACATGCGCTTATGTCTCAAATCAGGAAGACGTTTGGAAAGATGAGATTACTAGCCTGATTCATCAGCCTGACCTCGCAGCATTAGGATCCGTTCGCTCAACGGTAGGCAGGTACTTTTTTTCAGTTAACCAATCACTGCTATTTGGTCGTGACGTATGTAATGCACCGCTAATGGGTTAACTGGTATATTAAGCTTTTCCCAAATCCCGTAGGAAGAAGGGCAATAACGTCTTTCTCCTTGATAAAACTCATCAGACATTCTCTTTGTTCCAGATTTAAATCCTCCATCTTCAGAATCGTTGCCAACACAGAATGTATGGCTCTTCGCTGATTGGCTGGTGTTCGGACTCACACTTCCGGGGTTCTTGCAAACCGTCTAGTGTATTCCAATTCCTGACCTAGTCGCTGGAGAGAATTGAAATTGAGGTGGCACCAGCCTGGCTATGTGAATACATCTTCCAGTGTAGATACTGACAATGGGCTTGCCTAACATGGATCTGTTAAACCTATTGAAGTAAATGTGATCAGTGGTAAAATGACGACTGCGTACGTATGTGCTGTTTGGAATAATCTTGAATTTGGAGCCTCATCTCTTCTAATCGCATGTACCCAGTGCGATCGGAGTTGTGCGCCAGTGGGGGAATGACAAAACAGAGGTATGGTTGTAATTGTTGATTCGCCGAACATAACGAAGCGCTACAATGACATTTAGATGGGAAAACTGGATCTGGAAGTTATAATCGCATCTTTCCAAACGTCTTCCTGGTTTGTGACGTAAGCATGACTAGAGTCTATTATAACATGAACAACTTGACCTGCATGTCCATTGTTTTTTGAAATTAAGAATAAAACAGCATTACAAGTTTACCTGAAATTTTAAATCTAAATCTTAAATGCAGTTGCTCTGAGGATCTTGCGAGTGTTCCTTTAAACCATAATAATCACAGACATATAGAGGTGTGTTATGGTGGTACCACAGTTTGAGAAGCGTTCCTTTAATAAACCACAGTGGTCGCAGACATGTACAGATGTGTGGTTCTTACTGTGTAGCTGCTTCTTGATCTTGAGCGTGACCGTCTCTCCCGCCATCTGCAGCAGGTGGATGGCTTCACTCAGAGGTTTTCCCTTCAGACTCACACTGTTTATGGCCAAGATCCGGTCTCCCACGTGGATCGCCCCCGTCCTGGAACACACACAGGCACGTAATATGGATGAGTTGAATAAATGGGCACATTTAAAAGGGCCTGTACTCGACTTTTCCCATGCATCTGAGCAGCTGAGGGAATTACCACAGCCATTAACCCTGACCCAGTAATGAACTCAATTTAACGGTGCAAAGAACTTTACTAAAAGTCTAACTTGGAACAGAAACACAGAAAAATGAAACGGAAAAGGCACACCAAAGTTTTTGTAGAAGTGCAAATACAAGGAACAGCTATAGAAGTGAAAAAATGCATAGCACATTCAGATGGCTGATGTCCAAAAGCTTTTTTAAATTTTGCTTTTAAATAACATTTCGGTAAAAAAAAAAAAAGCCTTTGTCAGATATTTATGTTGCATTGCTTGGTGTACCACCTAGTGCCTCTGCTCAATTTGATTTCTCTCCAGCGACTAGGTCAGGAATCGGAATACACTAGACAGCTTGCGAGAACCCCGAAAGTTGTAGACTGCGCACCTGCCAATCAGAGAAGAGCTGTGAAGCCATGATGTCAAACTCAATCTCCTGTCTGGGTCCCTTTTGTGATACAGCACAACAGTAAACAAAGCGGAGATTGATGTAGATGAAGACAGACATTCTGTGTTGGCAACGCTTCCCGAGATCGACGATTTAAAGCTGGAACAAAGACAATGTTTGGTGAATTTTATCAAGGGGAAAGACGTTATTGCCCTTCTTCCTATGGGATTTGGCGCATTACATACGTCACGACCAAATAGCAGCGATGGGTTAAATTTTAAAAAAGTACCCGCCTACTGTTGAGCGAACGAATCCTAATGCTGCGAGGTCAAACAGTTTCCACAGAGTGAAACTGGCTGATGAATCAGGCTAGCTGTGGTCCAAAGCAAGAAAAATATCTGACAAAGCCTTTTTTTTTGCCGAAACGTGTTTAAAAAGCTTTTGGACATCAGCCATCTGAGTGTGCTGTACATTTTTTCACTTTTAAAACACTAACTTTACCAAAGAGAGTTACTAAAACCAATGTGAATGATGCAAAATGCAACTGTAGCTATGTGTTTTTAATGATAATAGAAAAAAAATGTGTCAAAAAACAGGAAGAAAGGGGAAAATGCAAGACTGACTATTAAAGAAGTCATATTGTGCTTGGGTCTGCTGTATTATTATAATCTATAACACCCATAGATCATTATTTAATTTATACACTTTAATTTGCAACAGTCATCTAAAACAACTTAATAAAGGAAACGGGTTCACTGATTTCCGCATTAGAAAACTGTGGTGCCCAATGGAAGCTGACATCGCCCCTAGAGATCAGATTTTTTAGAGATTCAGTTCTTTTTTCTTTTTTTTTTTCAGTTCAAGTTTATTTATATGTCATTTAAATCAACTTCAGCAAACCAAAGTGCTTCACGTAAACAAATATACAACATAAACACCAAATGATAGCAAATTGATTATACTGGTGGAGGTGAAAACAGGCAGCCTGATCCACTAAATGAAACCGTCTGACCTCGCAGCATTAGGATTCATTCGCTCGATGGTAGGCAGGTACTTTAAAATTATTATTTTTTATTTAACCAATCGTTGCTATTTGGTCGTGATGTATGTAATGCGCCAAATACCGTTGGAAGAAGAGCGATAACGTCTTTCTCCTTTATAAAATTCACCAAATATTCTCTTTGCTCAGGTTTAAATCCTCGATCTCGGGAATCTTTGCCAACACAAAATCCATCTCGACCACTTTGTTTACTGTTGTGCTGAACCACAAAAGGGACATAGACAGTGTGACGTCATGGCTTCACAGCTCTTCTCTGATTGGCCGGTGCGCGGTCTACAACTTCCGGGGTCCTTGCAAACCGTCTAGTGCAGGAGTGGGCAAACTTTTTGACTCGTGAGCCACAAAGAGTTCTAAAATTCAACAGAAGGGCCGAACCAGGAGTAGATGGATGGAGTTTTTTGGTAATCCACCTCATAAGAGAAAAAAAACAAAAGAAAACATGGGATATATGCAAACATATCCCATTTTATTGAGATATCCAATAATTGAAAATCATTGCCATGCCTTTTAAAGCACTGAAAATTATTACTATTCTTGTTGTAAAGCGCTTTGAGTGCCTTGAAGGTGGAAAAGCGCTATAGAAAAATGTGACCATTTACCATTTACCATTTATTATTATTATGATTATTCAAGTTCCCACCCCTGGTCTAGTGTATTCTGAGTCCTGACGTAGTCGCTGGAGAGAAATGAAACTGAAAGAGGGTAAATGAGAAGAGGGAACAGCTATAAAAGTTTAAATCTCTGAAAAGTCCATTTTGCATCATGAGTCTGCTCTAACTTTACGATATTATTATTTTAACGTACATTATCTTATCATATTGTTTATTGGGGCACTTGACTTGACTAGTGACTAATTGCGGTTCGTAAGGTCGCGTAAGGTAATGTGTATCATGACTTGTCCTGCGTCCAAGGTCGTGCCGCAGTAAATACGATACAAGAGCGCACCTGTGGGTCTGTGGACAGCGGTATAATCTCGATCTGTGTCCACATAAAACATTCATATCATATGGCCTAACATTAGCCTCTTATCTCACACATAGGCAGTGGAGTGTGTGTGTGTGTGTGTGTGTGTGTGTATGCGTGTGTGTGTCCTCTGTGTCCTCTGGCTCCACTCGACTCTTTCTATTTTAACTCGGGCTAAAGTGGGTCAAGATCACAGCCTCCACTTCACATGTCTCTGTGCGTAAAACCCACAGGTATTCTTTTAAAGCAGAGCCAGTACGGGACAATGGAGATGGATGGATGAAGGCGCAAGATCAAAAACGAAAACCCAAAATATGATCAGTGATGGATGAAGGAATAGTTTGGGTGAGATTGACGCAGTTTACAAAGGGTTTGGTTATTTCTGGAAACAATGCTTCGCTTATTCACACTGGCACTGTGTAACGTGTCCAGGGACAGGGAGAGGGTCCTTCACCTGCTTGTCGTCATGGAGATGTGCCCAAAATGTTCCACCGTACAGCTCTCAATTTCAGGGTTGGGAATAACGGCGTTTAAGTATAATGGCCGTAGTGTCTGGTAGGCAAGAAGTCAGTGGGGCCGCTGGTTTGTGTTGACAGTTGTGTTGTGTATGTCTGTCATGAAAGAACTCCTCATATTTTGAAGTAGGTTTTGCATTTAATTGTTTTGACATGACTTCATCATCTCACTCTAAAGTCACTGAATGTTGAGGATCAAAAACGTTACTCCAAAACTCGCCGATAACTGTTGACGATGTTGATGCTGACTTGTTGATACGGACGCTTTGCCAAAATGGAGATGGAGTCACTGCATTAATGCCAATCTCGATTTTTTGGGCAAGTTACTAACTCATTTACTTTATGGAGGAAGTAATTTGTAACAGTAACTAATTACTTTTTAAAATAAAATGCCCAACACTGATCAATTTAAGGATCTCCATGGAGACTTGCGAGCCAAATTACTGGTTAGATTTGTGGAGAGGTGACCCCGCTCACAGTGAGAATGAATGTTTAATATTTTTTTTAGATATTTGTGAAATCCTCAGTCGTCCAGGTAGGATCCATAGCAAAGGAAAAATGTAATGTTGCTTTTTTTAATTTAATCCACTTCGCATCTTATCCAAGCTCATTCTTCAGTCCAGAACTGATAATAATAAAGAAATAAACATGTTTTCTCTCTTTGTTCATGAGTTAAACTTATCCAACGAAGTGCTCAGACATGGCACGTACGTCTGCTGATAACAGACATGTGTACACATGCATGTGTCGCTATCAGAACTCTGAATCAGGATGATGTAACAGTAAAGGACAGGGCCGTCACACTGTGTGTGGGGGGTAAAGGTGTTGTTCGCACAGGGGTCATGGCAGGAAGGGGCCCCTCACAAAGTTTGTATGTGCAGGTTTCATGAGACAACAGGTAGTGTGGGCCAAGAGGATGATCTGTGCCCAGGGCCAGGAATTTGGTGTTACACCCAGATAAAAGATTATGTCATGGGAACCTGCACTTATGGGGACAAAATCAAGTCCCCATGATGTGAGTGTGTAAAGATTTTAGTCTCCACAACATGATAAATACCTGTTCACACACACAGTTCAGTTTACTTTGTATTTCACACACACACACAAAAAAGTGACCTAATAACGTGTGGTACCTCTCAGCCAGTCCTCTCCTGGTGAGTCCAGATATGGTGATGGGGTCAAAGGGCTCCTCTGTGCCTGAGATGGTGATGCCCAGAGGACCTCCGTACCTCTTCAGCTCCACCGTGTAGATGATGCTGCCCGAGGTCTCCTGCTCATCTGAGGACAACATAAACACAACAGGTACAGTCAGCACAACTGCAGGACGGACAGACCTACTGAAGGTGGAAGTCATACAGTTATAGAGCTGGGTTTAGTCCTGGTTTAGACCTGGTTTAATTCAGGTTTAGTCCTGGTTTAGACCTGGTTTAATCCTGGTTTAGTCCTGGTTTAGTCCTGGTTTAGACCTGGTTTAGTCCTGGTTTAGACCTGGTTTAGACCTGGTTTAGACCTGGTTTAGTCCTGGTTTAGTCCTGGTTTAGTCCTGGTTTAGTCCTGGTTTAGTCCTGGTTTAGACATGGTTTGTCTGTAGTCTGTAGTCATTAGTATCCATAGAGACTGCTTTTGTCCTGTTAAAATCCTGGTTTAGTCCTGGTTTAGTCCTGGTTTAGACCTGGTTTGTCTGTAGTCTGTAGTCATTAGTATCCATAGAGACTGCTTTTGTCCTGTTAAAATCCTGGTTTAGTCCTGGTTTAGTTCCATTGGTTCACCTCTTGTTGAGTGTTCCTGTGTGCAAACCCGTGCAGTTAATTGAGTTTTGATTGCGATTTCAAAATAAATAAATTAGCTTAATATAATAATATATTTAAGCATTATTTCATGTTCAAAATATATTTTATTCATTTTATGTTTTATACATCGCAAAACTGCTCATATTTGTAGCGTATATTTATTTTCAATTTGAAAGTTTTGCATAAATTATCAATAAGAAAGTTTTTTTTTGTTTGTTTGTTTGTTTTGAGAGAGAAATGCTGAATAAATGCATATAATAAATGAATGAATAAATGCAATAATCATTTGAATAATTGTGATTTCAATATTGGCCAAAATAATCGTGATCATATATATATTTTTTCCATAATCGAGCAGCTCTATCTACTGTCTACTGTCTACTCCATCTACTGTATCATCACATTAAACGATTCGATATATCGATATTTCAATATTTTTGCACACCCTCACTAACGATCACTCGCTCACATCTCACATCCACAAAAGAAGTGTCTTGCCCAATGACACAGTCGCCGTCCGTCGTATTTGACAAATCGTTTTCAATTTTCAATCTCTTTACTGTCCCATCTCCTCCCCCTCTCTCACCTGCTCTCACACACACACACCCACACACACACACACACACACACACACACACACACACACACACACACACACACACACACACACACACACACACACACACACACACACACACACACACACACACACACACACACACACACACACACACACACACACACACACACACACACACACACACACACACACACACCTCTGTATTCCTCTAAAGTAGGTCAAAATCACATCTTGTAGGATGAGAGAGACAGTTTCCATGGTAACGGGCAGCGCTGTGGTCACGTGACCGCCGGAGCCAATCGTCTGTCAGGACCGGGCCTCACACTGATTGCATAATACCGACACGAGTTTGTGGGGAATTTCCACTTAACAAAGCCACGGGAGATAATGACAGACGACCACAAACCGACCACAACAAAAGAAAAACGGAAGTAATAACAAAAAATTGGGGGAATGTTGAGTTTAATTTCAAATAAATGCGATAATAACAAAACAGAAATCATTTTAGCCTTAATTTTATATTTGACATTAGAGATTTTCAGTGCTAAAAAGTGTCAGAATCAATTGTTCAGCTTTTCCGTAGTGGGTCCACCGTCTTCTTGTTTCCATGGAGACGTCATTGCTCTGCTTGGAATATTCCACAGTGTGACATTAAACAGCTCTGCCTCACATTTATTCAATTACAGGTGGTTTTATAGCTCAAAAATACTTATAAAAACGCATTCTGACTGTGAGCAGGGTCGCCTCTCCATAGATCTGACCTGTAACTTGGTCTGGTTTGGTCTCCATGAAGAGAGAAAGGTTTAAAGCCATACTGTGAAACATTCTAGACAAAGCAATAACAATATGTCTGGAGAAAAGCGTTTGACAGACCCTCCGCCAGAAAAGTTACACAATGCACCTTTAATGTTATGATTATTTTATTATTTTAAAACTTAAAGTTTCAGTTTTAAAGAAATTTGTAACTGCTTATTTTATTTAAACTTTAATGCTTCACCTAAAATTTAAATTACAGTTGCAGCTCTTGCCTGTCTGCAGTAGTTAGGTTAGTTACTTTCAGAATATGTAATAATATAGCAGTGTTTTATACACATTTTTAGAATTGGATACACTTTTTAAATTAAACTAAAAACACAACAAAAGCATCATCTAAACCTTGCAGAAATTCACCATTCTAAAAAAAAAAAAAAAGAAAGCAAATGTTTTTTCCTTGCCCTGTGTCTGATTCTTTATTTGTCAGTGAGTGTTTGGTCGGGCTCAGATGCAAAGAACTTCACTAAAAGGCTACGTTCAGACTGCAGGGCTTAACGCTCAATTCCGATTTTTTTGTGAAATCCGATGTTTTTGCGAGGTCGTTCACATTTCCAATTAAATGCGACTTGTATGCGATCCCCTGTGTGAACGTTAAACGGCCCGAAAGTGTCCTGCATGCACACTGGAGACACGATGACGTCAACCGCAGCGAGCGTGCTCTGTGTTTACGGAAGTTGTCCAAACATGGAGGTGAGCATTGAGCACCTGGAGATTTTAAAGTTCCTCTCGTACCGAAGCCAGAACATGAACAACTTACTTGTTTTAAAAGGAGGAGATTGAGAATCTCTTTGCCTCAAGTGGAGGAGTTCAAGTATCTCGGGGTCTTGTTCACGAGTGAGGGAAGGACGGAACGTGAGATTGACAGGCGGATCGGTGCAGCTTCGGCAGTGATGCGGTCGCTGTATCGGACCTTTGTGGTGAAGATTTACCGGTCAGTCTTCGTTCCTACTCTCACCTATGGTCATGAGCTCTGGGTAGTGACCGAAAGGAAGAGATCGCGGATACAAGCGCTTGAAATGGGTTTCCTCCGCAGGGTGGCTGGGCGCTCCCTTAGAGATAGGGTGAGGAGCTCAGTCACACGGGAGGAGCTCGGAGTAGAGCCGCTGCTCCTCCACGTCGAGAGGAGCCAGTTGAGGTGGCTCGGGCATCTGTTCCGGATGCCTCCTGGGCGCCTCCCTCGGGAGGTGTTCTGGGCATGTCCCACCGGGAGGAGGCCACGGGGAAGACCCAGGACACTCTGTAGGGACTATGTCTCTCGGCTGGCCTGGGAACGCCTCGGGGTCCCCCGGAGGAGCTGGAGGACGTGTCTGGGGTGAAGGAAGTCCCTGCTTAGACTGCTGCCCCCGCGACCCGGCCCCGGATAAGCGGACGAAAATGGATGGATGGATGGAGATTGAGAAGAAGAAGGACGAGGTTTTTGGCCGTGGCTTTTTGTGGGCAGCGGCAGCGACGTCTGTTGAAAGGAACATGTGGATGTGGAGACGTAGCCAAGAGTGGTGAGTGGTGATGTGCTTCGCTTCAGTGACATGGAGTTCATTAACAATTTTTGCCTACTTCAGTGCAGAATAGTGACGTTTGTGGCTTGTTGATAACGTGTAGGTGGATGAATGCACTTTGACCGTTCAGACTGAAGTCGCATGTCAAAAGATCAGATATGTATCGGTTTCAGGAGCCACATATCCAAGTGGCCTGGGTCACATTTGAAAAAATCTGATCTGTGTCGTTCAGACTGTCATTAAAAGATCAGATACAGGTCACATAGAAGCCAAAAAATGGGATTTGGGTCACTTCAGGCTGCAGTCTGAACGCAGCCAAAGAGGATTACCAAAATCAGTGTGAATAAAAATAAATGCAACTGCAGGTATGTGTTTTTAAAGATGGTTTAAAAAATAATAATAATCATTTTTAACTAAAAAGACACACGTGGTGATTCCTCAAAACAAACTAGGGATGGGACAAGACGCAATTTCTACACACAAGATTCAGCTCATGAGAACGAGACAAGCTGAGATTGTGATGTCATTTTTAACAAATGAACTGCCATTCAGGTCACAATTTTTGGTTTATTTCATTACAACATTGATGATGCTGCCTGACATCTCCTGCTCATCTGAGGACAACATAAACACAGCAGGTTTGGTCAGCGCGACTGCAGGATGGAGAGACAAATTTAATGTGAAAATCATGTAGTTATATGGTTGAGTCCTGGTTTAGTCCTAGTTTAGTCCTTGTTTTGGCCTGATTTAGTCCTTGTGTTTTAGTTCTGGTGTAGTCCTGGGTTAGACCTGGTTTGTCTGTAGTCATTAGCAGTGTTGGGAAGGTTACTTTTAAAATGTATTCCCCTACAGATTACAGATTACATATCCCAAAATGTAGTTTGTAACGGAATCCATTAAATTACTTAAAGTGAGTAACGTAATCTGAATACTTTGGATTACTTGATTTGCTGTAAAGAAGCAAAGACGAGGATCTTCCCATAAGATGTTTTGTTTGATAAAAGAAAATAAAAAGCCCAGATTTTACTTAACCAAATTAAAAATATTATTGATAGAAGAGGAAGAGACATGGTCCTGTTAAATCCTGTTTTAGACCTGGTTTAGTCCTGGTTTAATCCTGGTTTAGACCTGGTTTTAGACCTGGTTTGGACATGATTTAGACCTGGTTTTCATCCTGCTTTAGTCCTGCTTTAGTCCTGGTTTAGGCCTAGTTTAGTCCTGGTTTAGACCAGGCTTAGAACTGGTTTGGACCTGGTTTAGACCTGGTTTAGACCAGGCTTAGAACTGGTTTGGACCTGGGTTTAGACCTGGTTTAGACCTGGTTTAGTGTCCGACAATGAGTGGAATTACCAAACAAAACAAAACAAAAAAAAAAAAAAAACAAAAACAAAAAAAAGGGAGTAGCCCAAAATGTGAAAACAGGAAAATACCGCTGTGTAATCCATTTATTTCAACAAAGTAACTGTAATCCAATTACCACTCACTGAAACAGTAACTGTAACTGAATACAGTTACTCATAATTTGTACTGATTATGTAACTCCGGTACATGTAATCTGTTACTCCCCAACACTGGTCATTCGTATCTATAGACTTTGTTTGTCTTGTTGAGTCCTGGTTTAGTCCTGGTTTAGTTCCATTGTTGAACCTGGTTTAGTGGTTCAACTCTTGTTGAGTGTTCCCCGTGTGCAGTGGTCAGTACAAGAGGTAATTTAGTCCTGGTTTAATCCTGGTTTAGACCTGGTTTAGCCTTGGTTTGGTCAGGGCTTGGACCTGGCTTAGTCCTGTTTAGTTCTTCTTTGGTGTCCAGTATCAGTCAAAATTGTTGTGTGATAAAGAAGAACCAGACACATTGGGCTTTTTACACAAAATTGACTCTTGTGAGCTTTTAAGCAATGTTATCAAAAATATACAGAATTTTTCAGACATAACTTGCACATTTTTTCATGGTTTGGGTGGTCCTGCGACTTATATTAAAATTTGATAGGAGATTCAGCTCACGAGAACGAGACAAGACGAGATTTTGATATAATTTTAAATTAAATGAACTGTGCCATTCAGTTCACAATTTTGACTTCACAATTTTTGGTTTATTTCATTCCTATTTGATAACCCTATGTCCTGTCAATCATCACCTCATTGTTGCACTGTCTTCCTCTGACCTCTTGTATAAAGATGTGATTTTATATTTTATTACTTATCTTTCTATTTTATTGTGTCTTGCACATTTATATTTATACAATTATGTCTTATTTGACACCTGTCTCTTGATGTCTTATTTTTTGCTGCTTTTTTAGAATGTATCATTACAATTTATTGTGATGTGTGAGCTACTGTGTCCAAATAATTTTCCAGTGTGGATCAAAAAAGTTTGTCTAAGTCCAAGTTTATAGTTTTGCTGGAATTGTTGCACTGCTTTTTGGTATTACAGCTTCTCAAGAGGATTTACTCTGCAAAGTTAACCCCATTTTTATCCAAAGCAAATGTAAAAATATGCGGAAAAATGAGATAACTGTCGAGATCATTTTCTTCATGTGTGAGCAGTTTTGTGGCCATTTTGTTTTGCAAGATCTTGTGGTATGAAAGATCTTGTCCCATTCCTAGTGCACACAGACTAAAAAACAGTGTGCAGGTCTGGTCATTTGTATCAAACAGTGTTTGAGTTCAGTGTTAGAGTTAAAATGTTTACTGTAGTGTAACTGTAACAAATACTTAATACCTGTCATAATAATCTGTCAAGTTGAATCATACCTTTGTCCGTATTTGCACACTTTGTCTAATACACGTAACATTTTAACATTGGGGCTGTTGAACTGAGCTAAAACAGATAAAACACATCAAAGAACCTGAGCCATTTGAAGAGATTTGTTTGGACAAATGTCAGAGCCTGGACAACAGCATCACCTAGTGGCCACAAAAAAGCACTGCTGCCTTTTCTATTACGTAACAACCCCTCTGGGAAGACAATGAAATAAAACTGTATAATAAAAGCACTAAACAAGTCCAAACCAATCAGATCAAATGGTTTTAAAGGTGCATTATATCATTTTCTCTGTGTCTCTATGAAGAAATCAGTGTTTATTTCATTTGCATGTTTTATTGCTCAAAAAATAAATACAATTCCTTGAAAAACGTGTTCTTACTGTATGAGTGGGCTAGCCTCTCCACAGATCTGATCTGTAACTTGTCTTGCAAGGAGATTCATGTAATACTGTGGAACATTTCCAGCAAAGCTAAATGTGCAGGGTTTGTGTTAAACATGTGTGAATGAAACAAAACACAACTCCAGGTCTGTTTGTGAGGAGAAAACAACATAACATAGATCAGAAAATAAGGTAATTTTTAAGTTGCAGAATTATATAGAGTGGAAAAAAAAAAAAAAAAAAAAAAATATATAATATATATATATATATATATATATATATATATATATATATATTATATATATATATATATATAATATAATATTATATATATATATATATATATATGATTTAGTTTCTTGCACCACTTAGATTTGAAAAAGAAAAATCACACATGCACTCACCAAAAGAACTGTTTTTACTCACTAATACTGTGTTTGAAGCCTAAATTAAAATGTATTCTTTGATTTATAAAAAGTACCACTAAATGAAAGAGTAACTTTACTATGGTATAGTTACTTAATGAGCATTCTGAACATGTATTTTCAGTGTGTGTATTTATTTACTTTGAAACACTGTATAAAAGTAAAAGCTCTTCTCACCGGAGTTGTCCTCGTCCTTGCGTATCTTGAGTTTGACCAGCTCCTCACACTGCTGCAGGATCTGCTCGGCGTCCTCCCTGGAGCAGTTCTCCAGACGAATGTTGTCTATGGCCAAGAGTTTGTCCCCGGGCTCCAGGGTCCCTGTTCTGCAAAAACAAACAAACAAACAAACAAACAAACAACTCAGGAGGAGAGTATGTACACAGCATTGAAAGGAAGAAGATACAGGTAAACAGGCAAGAATATTTTGTTTACATTTTGTAATCTATGTGCAACAGTGATGATGAAATGAGCTATAGTGGTCAATAAATCAGAAACACACACAACTGAAAATGAACTTTTCTCTTAAGGTAGTTAACATTTAGCTCAGGTTCTTATCTAATGTAAAACAGACACACTGGCACCAGTCCAAACCCTGTTGATTATTAATGTTTTATTATAATTTTATAATGAAATATACTATATTTATTTAGGGCAAATAACAGGAAATATACAGAATCCAGAATTCTACAAAGTTAGGAGACCAGCCTAATGTAGTGATGGGCATAATGAAACAGGTGCTTTGATTCTGTAGAGTTTGTTTCTAAAGTCTCAGCCTGGTCCCACACAGTTAAACATGATGTTTGTGCATCTGGTCCATCACATCGGGAGTGAAAAGAGGAATGATTTTATGAAAGTGACATATGTTGAGTGTGTTTGTGCATTGAACTAAGACTCAGTGTACAGAAGACGCTCAGTGAAGCTGGTGCAGAGGCTCCCTGATCTCACAGAGCAAAGATCGTTTACTTGGCACATTTGGTTCAAATGTTGTTTCATGAAGTTTTACTTTGTACATCAGTAATGGCAAGTGTATCACATAGGTAAATTGGACTCAAATGCAACACAAGTATATTGGCAACCAGTTTTAGTTTAATAACTGAAACTGAGGTGGCTCGGGCATCTGTTCCGGATGCCTCCTGGGCGTCTCCCTCGGGAGGTGTTCTGGGCATGTCCCACCGGGAGGAGGCCCCGGGGAAGACCCAGGACACGCTGGAGGGACTATGTCTCTCGGCTGGCCTGGGAACGCCTCGGGTTCCCCCCGGAGGAGCTGGAGGACATGTCTGGGGTGAAGGAAGTCTGGGAGTCCCTGCTTAGGCTACTGCCCCCACGAACCAGTCCGGAATAAAATGCGGACAAAAATGGGCTTTGATAAACTCAAACAGGCACTATGAACAGGGGAACAAAAAGCAGAATGTACAGAGTTTCATGGTAAGAGCTTGAGAGTATGTCTTCAAAGGTCTACAATCTGGCAAAGACTGAATGAGCTGGAGGAGTGTATATAAACTACCCTGGGCTGATTAGGGAATGAGAGGCAGCTTTAGGAAAAGGAAGGAGGTAGCAAAAGGAGGACCGGAACAGACTGGGAAACGGAGTTGGACTGGGGAAAACATGTAAACAAAGGGCAGAACTGTGACAAAGTGACTGTATTATCATTAACACTGAAATGTGTGTCTAATCATTCTTACGTCTATAGGAAAAATACATAAATACACAATTACATAAATCCATACCTGTGTGCCATGCTGCCTTTCTTGATGTCTGAGATGATGAGGGGCTCTCCTTGTTTCTTGCTGGCTGTGAAAGAGCAAAACATTAACTCAAGTAAACTATTGTGTGTGTCTGATTTGAAATCTTACATATTGGTCAGCTGATAAATATTGTGATTTATTTCTTAATTACAACAACAGTGTACATATATATAATTATGTTATAATTTAGTGTTCTGGTTCTCAAGATGATTAACCAATCACAAAGCAGAATGAGCATCACATGAGTCTCTCATTTGTGTTGCCAGGTTCATTGCTGAAATCCAGTGTGTTTAAATCTAAAATGCCTCTTTCTGATCTGAATTGTCTCTACCTAAACCCCAGCACCTACAGCTAGTGCAGCCTCTGCAGCTCAGTGAATGAATTCTGGACTTTCTAAGCTTCACATGAGGCCTGTTCATAAACTGAGAATGAGGAAAACTTGTATTGGTGGTTTTTAGATTGTAGAATATGATTATGTCATACTCCCAGATGGAGGACAAGAGACAGGTTTTTCCAATTCCTTTTTACTTTGACATGAATTATCCAAAAAGTAATTTCACAAAAGTTGAGCCTGATTATATCTTTTAGACACTATACCCCTCTTATCTGTTGAACAGTCCCATTGTGTTTACTACATAATGGGTAACCTATGTGCTTCTAAGCAAATTCCTTTGCAGAAGTGGGACTGTGGAGACAACTGTTGGAGGGGGTTGTCACAAATTCTTTTACAGAACTAGGACTGTGGAGATAACCAGCTGGCTTATCTAAACAGACTTGGTGTGATTTACAATGGTTTGGAGGGGGTTGTCACTTCCCCCAAAGAAGAAATGCTGACACTTCAAGGCGACGATTCAAGGCGGGAACCTGCTCAACATATTATATGCATATTCGTATGGATGTTTATAAAAACTGTTTTGAAGTATTCAGAAGGGGTCAGATGCCTGATGTGAGCCCTATGTAACTTTGTAGGCAGTTAGGGACAACGATCTGACCCAGAGCTCTGTATTAGAATTGTATTGTCAGGGGAATACATTTTTGGAATTTAAATTGATTGACTCTAGTAATTTTTGATTGAACACGCCTAACACCCCAAAACTTGCTATATTACAACAGAAATCTGCATTTTAACATTTCATTTTAGGTGCCACCATCAGTATTAACTATTATTGCCCTATATTATTATGATCTTACATTTGAAGCCGATCAGTGTGTCCTCCAGCTACAGATTTAGGCAACGGCAACCCACGTCTAGTTATGTGCTTAATTTTTTCAATTGTGAATGATCTCCCAAAAGAAAATTCCCACAATATCGTGCACACATGAGGAAAATGATCTTCTGATTTTTATTGATTTGGATCAGACAAAAAATGGTTACCTGTTGGTGAGTCTTACAGTTCAAAAATTGGAAACTAGATTGTGAAATATAAATATTACGTTAAAATCTCATCTTGTGTCTCGCCCCATCCCTCGTAAAAGCGCAGACTACATTCAGCTCCTTTTAAACTCATAAACTCCCACATTCCTTCAGACACATTAGCGTGCAGAGTGCTGACTGAACTCCAGAGGGGGCTATTACTCCACTTGAGCGGAGCGTCTCATGTCTCTCGGTTTAATGTGATCTATAAAACATGCGCGGTGCCCTGCTCTGATTGAGGTCAGGACTGTGTGGACCAGATCAAGCTCACATCTGAATATTTTATCTGATTTCTAATGAAGATGTTTTAAAATGTAAAACTGTATTATGCAATATGATACTGAGTCTTAAAGTAATCCTCAGACGGCTCAATTTGCCTGATATTAAAATATTCTTTACAGCTAATGCATTACTCTTTTAGCAGTACTGCCTTTTTAATTTGTTTGTTTACATTTGACATATAAAATAAAAAATGTTAAAAATCAGTAAAATATATAGATGACCTAAATTATAGACATAGATATATTGTATTTTTTGGACTATAAGTCACACTTTTTTTCATGGTTTGGGTGTTTCCTGTGATTTATACTCCGGTGTGACTTATAGGCGAGTTTCAGCTGACGTCATTGTTATTAAAAGCCCGCGTTGCATGCTGGGAAATATTTTAGTCGGAGGCAAGAAACACGATAGCGGTCAAACACAGTGCGTAACCTCGTGAATTTATCCTCGATAATGGTAAATTCCTGCTGCATTATCGGATGCACAAATAGAAGCACGGAAGAAGGAAAATGTCTTTTTTGTATTCTGAGTGAAAAGAACCGCTAACGGTGAATTAAACGGCTTTCAAACATTCGCAGAGGAAACGCAGAAGATCCTAGCAAACCGTGGACTCCAACAAGTTCAACAACACATCGAGACTCTTGGAGGTTTTCATCTTTTCTGCTGTGAATGGCCCAGGAGTTTCCACCAAGTCATTGTGGATATCGCCGAAGTGAATATTTGTCCAGGTAGTTGGCGATTCTGAAAAGAAATTTGGTTTGGTCCACCTTTTGTAGGGGTTGAAAAGGGTGATTCCGTCCATCGATGCTTATGACCAATTTCTGGTCAAATTGTCTTCGGTCTTCTGCCGTTAGAGTGGATAAATAACCGGGATCAATACCCTTTACGTGCTTTCTCACTCTGTCCGTCATGTTGAATTAGCTTTGTCAACAATGAAACTTGCCTATATATTAAAATTTTCACACTGACAGCCTCAAGAGGGCGCTCTAGGTTTGTGTGTCAGTATCTGCTGCTCCTATTACTCCTGTACCACTGTCACTTCTACTGCGCATGTCTCCTGCAGAAAGAGCCTCTAACCTGCAAGTAGTGAAGTATTGAGCCAAAAAAATGGTAATCGAGCAGCAGAAAGAAAGTTTGGAGTGAGCGAGAAACTTGTGAGGACTTGTGAGTAAACTTGTGGGACTGGTGAAAAGTGTAGATGGAGAACAGAGCTTCACTGCAACTGGGAGGGTGCGCCATGAACCCCCCGAACCCCCAAACCCCAAAAAGAAAAACATATTTTGCAGATTACAAGCTGCAAGTATTGAAATATGCAGCTGAAAACAGTAATCGAGCAGCAGAAAGAAAGTTTGGAGTGAGCGAGAAACTTGTGACAAACGGGGGGTAACACTTTATAATAACTACACCTTATTTAGCCTTAATAAAGCATGAACAAAGACTTAATTAATAATGAGTCATGCTTAGTAACTACTTAATTACTGCGTTAATTAGCACTTGCACTTAATTTGCCTGTGCTGTAAATAGTTACTCATAATTATTTCATACTTAATTGCTCATGAACTAACCATTTAAACCAACCATTATATTTAAGTACAAATTTGAGCATTTATTAATCATTAGTAAGCGATGAGAGAATGATTTACTAATAATGCAATGCAATGATAATTCCGGCAGCTGTTATCTGTTAGTTACGTCTTTTTGAGAGCTTTTCTAACGTGAAGAAATAATTATGAGTAACTATTTACAGCACAGGAGAATTAAGTGCAAGTTAAGTGCTAATTGAGGCAGTAATTAAGTAGTTACTAAGCGTGATTCATTATTAATTAAGTCTTTGTACATGCTTTATTAAGGCTAAATAAGGTGTAGTTATTATAAAGTGTTACCAACGGGGGATGCACCCTGAAACTTTCCTGAAGCCATGGATGGATCAACAAAGCCTGGACTTCAGTGACATTGAAACCATCCTGTCGAGATTCAGAAAGGCCTGGATAATTCTAACTGGAACTGATGCTGAGTCTAACGACAGCGACACAGAAGAGGAAGCGGCGCTCTGTTTACCTACGGAGGTCGTGGAGTTGCTCAGAAGTGACACCGAGGATGAAGAATTGAATGGATTTATTGATTTGGAGTGAGATGGAGAGTTTGTTAAACTTGTTCTGTTCTGTTGTTTATACTATAGTTATCTGAAGAACTGTTCATATGTGACGTTAACAGTCTGTTATTCAAATCAAATCAAACCAAACTTCATTTATAAAGCGCTTTTCATACTAAAATGTTACACAAATTGCTTTACAGTGATTAAAAACAATCCCACATTTCCATCTGCCCACCCACTTACCCAACCCCCACACCTGCCCGACCCCACACAACCAAACAACACAAGCACACACGCACAAACATGCACACACACACACTCACACACACACACTGACATGCTAAAATACATAAAACCGCACATAGTAAAATGTCAGGCTGAATACAGGCAAACCAGATGAGAAAACACCATTATATTGTTATTACTAGAACTTGCCTTTTAAGATGAAACGTCGGCTCCTGGTCTCTGATTTTATAAAATACATTTCCCCCCAAAAGTGCGACTTATATATGTTTCTTCTTCATTACACATTTTTTGGCTGGTGCGACTTATACTCTGGAGAAACTTATAGTCCAAAAAAAAATAAAACATATTTAAAAACATAAATTCTCACTGAGAGCAGAGACGCCTTTCCACAAGTCTAACCTGTAATTTGGCCTGCGAGTTTCCATGGAGATTTATAAGTTTACGGCAGTACTGTGGGACATTCTAGGCTCATCTCCATGGAGACAAGCAGGTGACAAACTCTCCGGCAGACACAGTGCCTCTTTAATGCCATACTGTGGAACATTAGGGAGTTGTAACGTGTCGGAGGAGATGACTTGATTTATATTTAAAGTCAGACCATTCATTTTCATTTTGAGTAATTTGACGGACAACAAAATAATAATTATACTGCGATTAATATGTTACAGTTAAAACCTTACCGCTAATGGTGATGCCGAGCTCCACGCCTCGTTTCTTGGGCAGCTTCACGTGAAAAGTTCCACTGCTCGGGACCACAGACTCTGGAACGACAAACAAAATTCAACGTTTTCAGGTGTAAATTTGGATTGTCGTATAGCTCTGTGTTTGCCTCTGTGCCTCTGTACCACTGTGCCACTGTGCCACTGTATAACTTTTCTGGTTTCTTTTCTACTTGTTTCCATGGAGATGTTATTGCTTTGCGTAAAATGTGCCACAATAAAGTTTTAGACCTGGCTATTTCCATAAAAAAAAAAAAAAAAAAAACTGTATGTGATGCCACCAAGCTAATTTACAGGCCAAATCTATGGACTAAGAACTAAGAACGCATGTATTTCAGGGTATTTTCGAGCAATAAAAACAACTTTAACTGAATGAATGTGACGTGTATTCGTTTAATGCAGTACTGTGGAATATTCCAGACAAATACCCACATTACACTGTTTTCTGATCCATGTTATAATGTCGTTTCCTCATCAAAAACAGACCCAGAGTTGTGTTTTGTTTCATTCACACATGTTTAACGCACAAACCCTGCATATTTAGGCTGAGCTCCACCTGGTGATGTCATGCGGTAATACAGGAAGTGCTCCACTGTGTTTTTAAACTCCATACACCTTCACTAGAATAATCTGTGTAATTTCAGCCCCGGAATTGCCATTCTCTCCTGAACAAAAGGTAAAAGTAGCTGTTAACTTGAAAACTACCACTTCATTTTGAGCATTTTGAGCTTTGTAGACGTTGACAGACAAAAAATTTTGGATGTGAATGAAACAAAACACAACTCCAGGTCTGTTTTTGAGGAGATACCAACATTATAACATGGTTTAAAGCTCACAAGAGTCTGTTTTGTGCAGTATAGGACCTCTAACTGTAACCAAAACCACCTGAATACAGCTCAGCCTTTTAAAAGTTTGAAAGAATTTTTACTCTTTTCAGTGTTTTTAGTTTTGGCATTGTGATGAGATTGAAGATGGCATGTCAGCTCTGTCCCTCAGTGCCTGGAGCCCGAGGTAAAGATTGCATCAACAGAAAGACCCAAACTCTGTCACTATATTTCATCATTAAAACACTCTAGCTTGAAGCCAGAGAATTAAAGGTAACTACTCACAAGGAACAGTCTGCATGTCTTACTATGATTCGTGTGACTATAGTGCCCTTGTTCCAAACTGATAAGACAGAAGTGGGTTGAGGTAAGCACCCAGAAGAGTTTTGTAACAATACTGAAGTAGACATTTATTTTAGACTTGCAAGAAAAGCTTTAAGCCATGTTATAATGATGTTACCTCCTCGAAAACAAACCTGGATTTGTGTTTTTTTTCACTCACACATGTTTGAGTAATTCTTTATTATTTGTCTGTCTACATCTCCAAAGCTCAGAAATTCTGGTCCACCTTGATCTGCAGAGCTTGAGCAGGTCTTGGTCAGGACTACCTTAGCTAGAGGATTTTACTCTTGGTACATGTTTTGGCTTGATGGGAGAAACCGGACACAGGGAGAACATGCAACCTCTGTAAACCATTGTTCCCAAAGACTCCCAAAGGGTCGCAAGAGATTTTTTCCGGTCGCCTTGTCACGATCTGCATGTACACCTGCAAAGTATACAGTTCTAAAGGCGAGTTTCATTGCTTGACAAAAGTTGCATGCTGGGAATTATTTTGGTCGGCGGCAAGAAACACTAATTCAACATGACGGACGGAGCGAGAAACCACGTAAAGGGTATTGATCCCGGTTATTTATCCACTCTAACGGCAGAGGACCCAAGACCATTTGACCAGAAATTGGTCATAAGCATCGACGGACGCCAAATCACCCTTTTCAACCCCTACAATGCGTCAACGAATCGCCAACTACCTGGCCAAACATTCACTTCAGCGATATCCACAATGACTTGGTGGAAACTCCTGGGCCATTCACAGCAGAAAAGATGAAAGCCTCCAAGAGTCTCGATGTGTTGTTGAACTTGTTGGAGTCCACGGTTTGCTCGGATCTTCTGCGTTTGCTCTGCGAATGTTTGAAAGCCGTTTAATTCACCGTTGGCGGTTCTTTTTACTCAAAATACGAAACAGACATTTTCCTTCTTCCGTGCTTCTATTTGTGCATCCGATAATGCAGCAGGAATTTACCATTATCGGGGATAAATACGTGAGGTTACGCACTGTGTTTGACGCTATCGTGTTTCTTGCCTCCGACCAAAATATTTCCCAGCAGCAACGCGGGCTTTTAATAACAATGACGTCGGCTGAAACTCAACCTATAGACTATTTTGTTCCAATATTGCTGGTTCAATTGAATGTTGAAAAAAAAAAAAAAAACATGAAATGGGCTACATTTAATGTCCAAATAAGGGATTTATAGATCCTTTTATTGCTGCTTCAATGACTGTTTTTCATTGTCAAATCCACCTTTATTTTATGATATAATGCCTATTGATTTGGGTCGTGAAGGTTTGTATCTTTTAAAATATGTAAAATATGGGTCCCCAGAAAAAAAAAAAAAAAAAAAGTCTGGGAAACACTGCTGTAGACTATAGAACCAATCAAAAACCTCAAAGATGTAACTCTCTAAAATGGACCACTACCCTACAATCAAATACACATATAAGAGACACTGTATTACAATTAGGAAATGAGCATGGACTCGAATTGGCTCCACTGAGTCTGAAAAAATGGTGGCCCCTTTCTCTATAGCTGCTGCTGTCATCAGGCTTCTTGTTCTGGGGCAGGGGTCTCCAACCTTTTTCCTCCAGTGAGCTACCTTTACAAAACAAAAATGCCAGCGAGCTACTTATTTCAGCGGCCGCAAGAAATAGAGAGGACTATAAGAAAGAGGGCGAGCCTTTGGGTACAATTAGATGCCTATAAAACATAAACCATTGTCCATTTATTAGTTAGTTTTAAAGGCTTCAAGATGATACAGTGATAATAGGCACATAATTAATCAATGCTTTGTTCACCACAATAAGTGTAATTCTGAAATCCCTTGGCGAGCTACTTGGAAGGGTTTGGAGAGCTACTGGTGTCTCCTCAGCTACAGGTTGGAGACCCCTGTTCTGGACCAATCAAGATCCTTTTTTCCACGGAACGGCTCCAGATGAATACCTGTAAAAACCTTCAAAGCAGCTCTTGATTAGCTCTTTTGTTGCTATGAATCATGCACTTGGAAATCCAAATATAGACTTGGTTCCAAACTGCTGGCCTCAAATCGACTGTTTATAGCCTAACATGATGGCGTCCCTTAGTCCACATCTGTAAACCAGTACGGTCTCTGCCTGCGAGATAAAACTCTAAAGAACTTGTCAAAAACCCGTTCACTCCAGGACTGTGCCTCACCCGCTACATCGAACTCTATCTCCAGTGTGACTTTGTTGGTGAGAGCAGCGTCTCGGAGCAGCTGGTTGGCCTCCTCCAGCGTCCCGTCCTCCGTGGGGATGCCGTTTATGGACAAGAGCCTGTCCCCCACCTGGAGAAGACCACACCTGCAGGACACAAGGGGACATGCGTGAGAGAGGGAGGGGGGTAGAGTACATTTAACACTGGTGGAGTTGTGCGGTTCAGATTTTACTAATACTTTTGTCACAAATTTACAAAGTAGCTGTATCTGATTTTTTTCCATGTAGGGGAGTCAAGGAGAAATTGCCTAACCCCTCTACCAATATACAGAATGTCTACCGTATTTTTCGAACTATAAGGCACACTTTTTTCATGATTTGGGTGGTCCTGCAAATTATACTCCGGTGCAACTTCTATATTAAAATTTTCACATTGACAGCCACGTGAGGGCGCTCTGGACTTGTTTGTCAGAATGAACTTCGCTCTACTGTGCATGTCTCCTACAGAAAGAGCAGCTGTTCCGTCTGTATCATGCCAGTCGATCGCACCATTACTTCTGTATCACTGAAAATTTTAACTTTAAACAAACTTATAAAGACACTTGTAACCCGAAAATGAGAAAACCCAATGAGAAACTGAACACAAATGCCCCTAAAAAGAAAATCATATTTTGCAGATTATAAGCTGCAAGTAGCAAAATATTCAGCCAAAAATGGTAATCAAGCAGCAGAAAGAAAGTTTGGAGTGAGTGAGAAACTTGTGACAACTGGGAGGGTGCACCATGCAACTTTCCTGGAAGTCACTGGATGGATCGACAAAGCTTGGACTTCAGTGACACCGAAACCATCCTGTTGGGATTCAGAAAGACCGGAATAATTGTAACTGGAACTGATGCTGAGTCTGACGACAGCTACACAGAAGAGGAGCTCTGTTTACCTCCAGAGGTCGCGGAGTTGCTCAGAAGTGACACCGAGGATGAAGAATTCAATAGATTTAGTGATTTGGAGTGAGATGGAGAGCTTGGTAAACTTGTTTTGTTCTGTTGTTTATTCTATAGTTTATCTGAAGAACTGTCCATATGTGACGTTAACAGTCTGTTGTTCTCTGTTCTATTGTTGTTACAATAATTTGCCTTTCAAGAAATGTCGGTTCCTGGTCTCTGATTTCATAAAATTAATTTCCCACAAAAATGCGACTTATATATGTTTTTTTCTTCTACATTACGCGTTTTTTTGGCTGGTGCAATTTATACTCTGGAGCAACTTATAGTCCAAAAAAAATGTTTTTTGACTGTTTCTGCAACATTCAGGGATATTGACTCTGTACAAGGTTTAGTTACATTGATTGACAGCACCAAAAACTCCAAATAACATCATACCAGTTAATAAAATGTAATGGTAACTTTTTCTGGTGGGGGTCAGTCGCTTGCATTTCTCCAAAGAGATGTTATTACTTTGCCTGGAATGTCCCATAGTATGGCATTAAACTTATGTATCTTCTAAATTATAGGTGTTTTATTGCTCAAATATTCCTGTAACTTGGTCTGGTGGTGTCCATGGAGATCGATAATGCCATACCGTGGAACATTTGGGATAACTCAATCAACCTAATCATAATAAGTATATCACAAGGCTTCTTTTCTTTCTTATTATGTAATCATGTATAAGCAGAAGCACGCCCCAGTTTCAGCAGCACCTTGACACTTGCTGCTGTCAGTGTGATCCTGAGTACATCCTTTGCTTCTTTAAATATCTTCCTCATTCTGTCTGATAAAAAGCTATTATTATCTACAAAGCATCTTCAGCTGTCTCCATTACTTTTTAATGTGTGTCTTTAAAGCAGCATTATACCTCTGTGCCCTGTCATCTCATCTGCTCTCACTTTTACGACTTTAGAGGAAAAGCAGTGGATCTGAAGGCGATAAAAGTTTATATTATACTGCATTTTATATCTCAGCGATCATAAAAAAAAGTTACAGTCTTCAGTTATTATTTTTGATAAACGCCGGATCATGTGGAGGAAGCCTGTTTCATTTCTTTTGAGTTAATATGTTGTCTACGTGGTTTTAAAATAGGCCACAACTTGTATCGTTCATCATGAATTATTATTTTAATGCCGTAGTTCACGTGAGCAAATCCCCTGACGCCTCATGATCTGGACCTGAAGCTGTGGTCTGTTATTGTACTTCACAGTCTGTCCAAAACAAACATCAGGTTCAAGCACCAGGTCCATCAGAACACGAGGGTCCAGGTCCATCAGAGCACGAGGCTCCAGGTCCTTCAAAGCATGAGGCTCCAGGTCCTTCAAAGCACGAGGCTCCAGGTCCATCAGAGGACGAGGCTCCAGGTCCATCAGAACGAAAGGCTCCAGGTCCATCAGAACGAAAGGCTCCAAGTCCATCAGAGCGCGAGGCTCCGGGTCCATCAGAGCGCGAGGCTCCGGGTCCATCAGAGCACGAGGCTCCAGGTCCATCAGAACGCAAGGCTCCAGGTCCATCAGAGTGCGAGGCTCCGGGTCCATCAGAGCGCGAGGCTCCGGGTCCATCAGAGCGCGAGGCTCCAGGTCCATCAGAACGCAAGGTTCCAGGTCCATCAAAGCACGAGGCTTCAGGACACACAGGCCAGAGGTCCATGATCTACTTTATGTCATGTGACCTTCTGCATTGTGTTGGGAACATGAAAGACCAGACAGACCTGAGACCTGGGTGTATCATGAGGGCCTGTGGGAACATCAGGAGTAAGTCGCAAAGGCAAAAGCTCTGGGCTGGGAGGAATTCAGAGAGGCCCTGAAATATCACCAGCATCGAATATGTTATTAGGTTATTTTTACAGACCAAGAGTTTGTTTTCATACCTGACAGTTTCAACTACTCACTAGCGCTCTTCCTCAGACGTGTCCGTTCAGCTGAATTATACATGTTTTGGTGCTGTCTTCCTACCGGTGGAGGCAGGACGACAGCGCCATCTGCAGTCCCACTTCCTCAGGACAATATCCCAGGTGTGTGAGAGTAAAAAAGCCCCCTCGTCCCTGGTTTATCGTCCCATGGGCACGTTTACGTATTTCGATCTCCTCTTTAATCCAGCGACGGTGTTTGTTTTCTTCTGTCCCAATGATGTTTGCTCCGTTCCAGTCCATAATGTGGTTCTCTCTTTTACAGTGGTCAGAAACGGCCGATTTGAGTTGTTCCTGTTCTGCTTTGTGTTTTGTTGCTAGTGTGCACGCCTTCGCTGTTTCCTTCTCGCATTCTATTCTGTGTTCCTTTTTTCGTGTATTGAAAGCCCTCCCTGTTTCCCCTTGTATGTTTTATTGCAGGACATGCAGGGTATTTCGTATATGACATTACATTTATGCTCCGGTTTTACGCAAGCAAACATCACTGGGACAGAGGAAAAAAAAAAAACATCGTCACTGGATTAAAGAGGTAATCGAAATACGTAAACGTGCCCACGGGACTATAAACTGGGACAAGGGGGCTTTTTTACTCTCACACACCTGGGATACTGTCCTGAGGAAGTGGGACTGCAGATGGCGCTGTCGTCCTGCCTCCACCAGTAGGAAGACAGCGCCAAAATCTGTTTAAATCAGCTGAACGGACACGTCACAGCAACATCCCGTGACCACTTTGAAGAAGGCCACTAGTGAGCACTCGAAACCATCAGGTACGAAAACAAACTCTTGGTCTGGAAAAAGAACCTAATAACATAAATTATCGGAAGACCAAATGAACCTCATCGGATTATCACCAGCATCGTTTACAGTGCAGGTGGAGCTGTTGACCTGCACTGGAGATGTTGATGTCCTCACTCCCACGTCTCTGAGGAGGACGCGCAGACTGGGGGGGCTCAGAGGAGACTCATCCATCACCAAACATGTCACTAGATTGTGTCATCGTCATATGAGAGTTAATGGTGCCTCAGGTTTGATCGCGGAGCAGTTTAAACCCTGCAGGAGCCCGTGATACAGCGTTCACCTTTAAATGCATTAAACGCACGGTAAAGGTGCTGGCATGACCTGCACATTAACCATCTGAACGATTTTAGAAAATGTGTGCTCTTTATATCGATCCTGTTAAAAGTGTGTTTCGCTCAGGCTGTTGCGTTTGGATTCACCCTGGTGCATAAACGGAAGCTACTTATCGATGGGTTAGTGTTAGCGATAGTGCTGGGGGGAGAGAGGCTAATTAAAGCTGTGAGCGTGGGCGCTAATGGAGACATGACAGGCCTCCAGCTAAAAGACACCGCGGCGTTTAGAGAGAGGGGGCTTCTTATGGGCAAATGCATTAGCGTTTTAGCAACAGATTAAGGACTTGTGCATTGAATTACGCAGTTACTAAGTGTGCTTTTCCATTGTTAAGTTGCCATTTTGTAAATCAGTTTCATGACAAAATGAGTCACTTTTACAAGGACTAAAGACCAGCAGGATTCAGGTTCACTAACTAGAACCAGAGCCCGGACCACCCCCCACACTCCTCCAGAACCAGAGCCCAGACCAACTCCCTCTCATCCAGAACCAGAGACCGGACCACCACCCTGATCCTCCTGAACCAGAACCAGAGCCTGGACAACCCCCCCACACTCCTCCAGAACCACAGCCTGGACCACCCCCCTGCTCCTCCAGAACCAGAGACCAGTCCAGAACCAGAGACCACCACCCCACTCCAACAGAACCAGAGCCTGGACCAGCCCCCACACTCCTCCAGAACCAGAGCCCGGACCCCCCCCCAACCCCACCCCGCCCCTCCAGAACCTGAGCCTGGACTAACTCCCTCTCGTCCAAAACCAGAGCTCGGACCACCCCCCACTTCAACAGAACCAGAGCCCGGACCACCCACCCCGCCCCTCCAGAACCAGAACCCGGACAACCCCCACACTCCTCCGGAACCAGAGCCCGGACCACCCCCCACTCCTCCAGAACCAGATACCGAACCACCCCCCACTCCAACACAACCAGAGCACGGACCACCCCCACACTCCTCCAGAACCAGAGCCTGGACCAACTCCCTCTCATCCAGAACCAGAGCCCGAGCCCGGACCACCCCTGCTTTTCCAGAACCAGAGCCCGGGCCACCCCCCAACTATATAGTTTAAGGCAAATTAATGTGCAGTTAATATTAAGTGGTACCGTAATAGGCTTACACTGTTAAGATCTTTGAAATGAGGTTATTTTAACGTTTTTGATGAAACGTTAAAAAAGGTAAAGTTTTGCAGTTGTAGTATGTAGCTTTTTAAACCAAGAAATAGACTAAAACAATACCATGTTCAATACAGTTGTGTTAATAGCACTGGAAAAGCAGAGCGGGCTTGCATCTCCATAAACCTGACTCATATTTGGCCTGGAGGAGGGTCTTCTCCTGCTTGTTTCCATAAATATATTGTTTCTTTGGCTACAATATTCCACAGTATGGCATAAAACTCCAAAGTATGGGTTTTAACTTTGTATTTCCATGGACTCATACGAGCGATGACCTCCAGAAAGTTACATAATGTATCTTTAAATGAACTTTCGTCCACATAATAACCTGGTATGGCAAAATACACGCATCGGAAATTCTTAAATGACTCTTCTAAACCCCTCACATGCATTTTGTGCCAAGTGTAATTAAAGAAAACTGAATTAGCCTTATCATTCCCAGCGGCGAGTCCCAGCCTGGAGGAGCAGTTCGCCAAACATCAGATAAAGAGGATGAGAGCCTGGATTACACACGAGTTAATGTGGTTATTGGAATCGGACCAAAGGGAATCAGGAGCAGTTACTGAGTCTTGCTTTAAAGGTGCACTGTGTAACTTTTTGGTTGAGGGTCCAGACCTACTTGTTTCTATGGAGATGTTGTTAATCTGCTCAGTATGACATTAAAAAGATCTGCTTTACATTTATTCAGTTACAGGTGGTTTTATAGCTTAAAAATACCTAGAAAACAGGAACTTCTGATAGTGATTCTAGACAAAGCAATAATACCTCCACTGAGAAAACCATCTGATAGCCTCCCCACCAAGAAAGTTACACAATGCACCTTTAGTTGGAGGTGCAGTGTACGTCTCACCGTTCTGCGGAGCTGTCCGGCTCTATAAACCTGATGAGCGGAGGGGCAGACAGGGTCTCGGTGGCGAAGATCCCTCCCTGGAGTTGAACCCCAAACCCGTTGAGAGGGTCTCCGGTCAGGACCACCTCACTGGTCTCCACGTGCACCACCTGTCCCCCCGGGCCCACCGAACTGGACGACAGGGACACTACAGGGACAGGAAAGACGTGGACGTAAAAACAAGTAGAGAAAACAACTACAATAGATAAAATATTACTTTTACTCAAAATGATGCAGAATCATGTTATTAACTTTAATGCCGTTCATAATCACCTACAGAACATAAATCATAGACTACAACACATGAACCAGGACTGAACCAGGATTGAACCAGGTCTGAACCAGGTCTAAACCAGGTGTAAACCAAGACTAAACCAGGACTACACCAGGAGTAAACCAGGACTACACCAGGACTAAAACAGGACATAACCAGGTCTGAACCAGGACTGAACCAGGTATAAACCAAGATTAAACCAGGACTACACCAGGACTAAACCAGGACTACACCAGGACTAAAACAGGACTACACCAGGACTAAAACAGGACTACACCAGGACTGAACCAGGACTACACCAGGTCTAAACCAGGACTGAACCAGGTCTAAATCAGAACTGAACCAGGTGTAAACCAGGACTAAACCAGGACATAACCAGGTCTGAACCAGGACTGAACCAGGTGTAAACCAAGACTAAACCAGGACTAAAACAGGACTACACCAGGACTGAACCAGGACTACACCAGGTCTAAACCAGGGTTGAACCAGGTCTAAATCAGAACTGAACCAGGTGTAAACCAGGACCAAACCAGGACTGAACCAGCAGTAAACCAGGTCTAAACCAGGACTACACCAGGACTAAGACAGGACTACACCAGGACTACACCAGGACTAAACCAGGACAAAGCCAGGACTAATCTTGGACTTAAGAGAGAGAACCCCGAGCCGTCTGCAATGCACGATCAGACATCGGCTGCGCTGGACCCAGTGGGGCGCGGAGCTCTGTGCCGGTCCTTTCTCCTGCGGTCACCCGAAGGTCTATGCGGGCGCACCTCCGGGCCCATTCCGAGAAGGGAGAAGTTGGTGGACGACGTACCCCGACGTACACTACAATCATAACGGGCCAGCTCCAGCTTGCGATGCCTAAGATGAAACTTAAAACCAAGGAGACAGGGACTTCTCTGTGACCGGCCCCGAGCTCTGGAACACTCTGCCCCCCCACGTCCGAACTGCCCCCACAGTGGAGTGTTTTAAGTCTCGTCTTAAGACCCACTTTTATTCTCTGGCTTTTAACACCGCGTGAGTTGTGTGGTCCTCTGTGTCTTTTATAGTTTTATTTTAACAATTTATTTATTTATTTATTCTTATGGGTCTATTTTATGGTTTTATTCATTTGTTTTTACACCATTGTTTTTATTGTGTCATCTTCAAGACACTCAAAGCGCTTTACGTCAAGGAACCACACACCCATTCGCACACCAGTGTACACAGACACTGGGGGGCGAGGGGGGGTTAAGTGTCTTGCCCAAGGACACAACGGCAGCAACTGTGGAAGGGTTTGAGTTGCGAATGGTACTCAAGTGGGCTTATGCTGTTTTAGGATAACATGACAAAAATAAATAAATAAATAAATAAACAAAACAGAAGTATACAGGTAGAGTGTTTGTCCAGCTCCCACAGATGAATGCTGTTGTTGTGTCCTTGGGCAAGACACTTAATTAACCCACCTCACCCTTTTGTCTGCCTGCACCGGTGTATGAATGTGTGTGTGAATGGGTGAGTGGTTCCTTGATGTAAAGAGCCTCGAGTGCCTTGAAGGTGGAAAAATGCTGCATAAAAAATAACATTGCACCTATAAAAAAAAACAAAAACAAAAAAAAAAACAATTCATGTATTTATTTCAGATTTTATGCTTTACTCTCCTCGGCACAAAGCTCCTCCTCACCAGCTCCTGGACGACCACAGAGCCATATTTCCCCATGAGCAGCCTGTCAAAACCTTTACGTTCTGTTCGTGAACCGTGGCTCTGCACTCGGCACCGTACTCATGTGAAACCCGCGGCTTTGCACACGGCACTAACGCGTGCTGTCAGGGCAGGTGGAGAGGTGGAGGGGTGGAGAGGGCACGTACATGAACTCTTGTGCTCCTTCTTCCTCTGCCTCCTCTTGAGCAGGGAGTTGCGAGGGCTCATGGGAACTGTAGTCCGGGGCAGGGTGCTGGAGCTCTGACTGCCCGGTCCAGAGGAGGAGGTGGTGGTGGAGCCGGACGAGAAGTTTGCAGAGACCAGGGCTGAAACGAGAAAACACAATAAAATGAATATTAAATAATTGTGAAAAATATACAAATCTGTGTATCATTTTTCCATTGGTTTTTCAAAATAAAACCAAAAATTAGAAAATGAAAAAACAACTTTTTTTTTTTTTTTTTTTCATTAGTTGTCTCCAAAACCAAAATGAAATACGGATAACGATTTGATTCACCTGGTGTAGTCCTGGTTTAGTTCTGGTTTGGTCTTGGTGTAGTCCTGTTTTAGTCCTAGTTCAGTCCTGGTTTAGACCTGGTTTAGTCCTGTTGTAGTCCTGGTTCTGCCCTGTTTTAGTCCTGGTTTACACATGGTTTAGTTCTGGTTTAGTTTTGGTGTAGTCCTGTTTTAGTCTTGGTTCAGTCCTGGTTTAATCCTGGTTCAGTCCTGTTTTAGTCCTGGTTCAGTCCTGGTTTAGTCCTGGTTCAGTCCTGGTTTAGTCCTGGTTTAGACCTGGTTTAGACCTGGTTTAGACCTGGTTTAGTCCTGGTTTAGACCTGGTTTAGACATGGTTTAGTTCTGGTTTAGTTTTGGTGTAGTCCTGTTTTAGTTCTGGTTCAGTCCTGTTTTAGTCCTGGTTCAGTCCTGGTTTAGACCTGGTTTAGACCTGGTTCAGTCCTGGTTTAGACCTGGTTTAGTCTTGGTGTAGTCCTGGTTCAGTCCTGGTTAAGGCATGTTTTAGTTCTGGTTCAGTCCTGGTTTAGTCCTGGTTTAGACATGGTTTAGTTCTGGTTTAGTTTTGGTGTAGTCCTGTTTTAGTTCTGGTTCAGTCCTGTTTTAGTCCTGGTTCAGTCCTGGTTTAGACCTGGTTTAGACCTGGTTCAGTCCTGGTTTAGTCCTGGTTTAGACCTGGATTAGACCTGGTTTAGACCTGGTTTAGTCCAGATTTAGACCTGGTTTAGACCTGGTTTAGTCCTGGTTTAGTCCTGATTCAGTCCTGGTTTAGACCTGGTTTAGATCTGGTTCAGTCCTGGTTTAATCCTGGTTTAGTCCTAGTTTAGACCTGGTTTAGACCTGGTTTAGTCCTGGTTTAGACCTGGTTTAGACCTGGTTTAGACCTGGTTCAGTCCTGGTTTAGACCTGGTTTAGTCCTGGTTTAGACCTGGTTTAGACCTGGTTTAGACCTGGTTTAGACCTGGTTCAGTCCTGGTTTAGACCTGGTTTAGACCTGGTTTAGTCTTGGTGTAGTCCCATCAGATATTATCGATTTAAGACATCACATCCACTTAAGAAATCCCCACTACACCACTACCCACAGCCTCCTCATACTGAGAGGAGGAGACAAGCTAAACCTCTACCACAGTACTGCAGTAGTCGATGCAGTACTCACATTTGCAGTAGTCGATGCAGTACTCACATTTGCAGTAGTCGATGGCGTGGATGGTGTTGTTGTTGGAGGGCGTCCAGGTCTTGGTGAGGGTGGAGCTGGGGTTGTGCATGGAGCTGGGGTTCTGGGGGTGACAGAAGTTCACACAGGGGTCCCACGAGTGAGGGTGGTCCGACTTATGCACCTTCACTGCAGAAAAACACAGAAAAATAAACAAAATATATGGTATAAAGATTTACTATTTATTATTGAGATGAAAATACAGTAGCCTGGTCAGTCAAAATACTCCAGTTATGTTTATATTTATTATAACATAGACAGAAAATAGTGTAATATGGGCATTTTAATATTAACAAGTAACATATTTACTTTATTGCTGATGTATGAATCGAATGAGAAAAAGCTCTTACTTAGACTAGACTTAAGGGCAATTTTAGTAATTTTTCCACGCCTGGATTTTTTTTTCATTTTTTTCATAATTTTGCTGCTATTATGCCCTCAAAACAAAACAAAAAAAAAAACAAAACAAAACAAAAAAAAGTGCAATCAGCCCATTACTGTATTGGTGTCAGTCATGGAAACAGCTTGTGTCAGGTCCAGGCCACAGAGCCACATCACTTCCTGCATTTCCATGGTGTTTATTACATTTATATTTGTACGTTTTGACTGAAGTAAACCTTTCAAATAAAAACAGCAAGGAATATGTGATTACGCAAACCAAGATGTGTAATTTGTCATTGATTTGAGAAAAAACAGCACTTAGAGCAACTCTTTCAATTGTTACGACACAGACGCTCAGAGCAGTCAATCATCTTGACTCACTACACTCTTTGGCAAAGTTTAGGCCGATCAAAATGGATGAAGCACATGAGTTTGGCGGAAAACAAATTTCCTATTGGACACTCTTTTTCCCTTTGCCATCACGCACCGTGTGTATGACGTAGGATAATACTGGAAATATGCTTGGAAGGTCGCAACTCTCAGCTTTTCAAGGAGAAAAAAAGTAAGTTTGCATCTTTTGTGGCTGGAAAGTTATGCACGGTTATGTAAAACATGTCCGTCAGTCTGGAAGGGTAAAGACAAACTTAATTGATCCACAAGGGAAATTATTTGGACCTAGTAGCTCATGCATCACAATATAATATAAATGGCAATAATAAATTTTAAATAAGTAACAAAAACTGCGTGTCATCTTGAATCCGTGTATCATTCGTTCATTCGTTTTTCAATATAAAACCAAAAATAAGAAAATGAAAAAAACAACAGTTTTCTTCGCTATTTGTCTCCAAAACCAAAATGAAAAAACGGATAACGATTCGTTTTTTCAGTTTTCGATTTTGTGTTTAAATGAAGAATGGAAAAAAACGGATAACGGTTTCCCGTTTACGTGACTTCCGTGACTGAGATGCAACTTTTGCACCGCGTACGGACTGAACCAGGACTGATCCAGATCGCAGGCTCAGAGCCCACAGCAGGGCCGGGCCAGAGCTCGAAGCTGAGGCTTGGACCCCCGGAGAGGCTCAGAGTCAAAGCTCGCTGGAGTCCGCCCAGTCCCTCTGGTCCTGCGTGGGTCTTGGTCTCCGCTCTGGTCCCGCTCTGGTCCCGCCTCTAGTCCCGGTCTGGTCTCGGACCTGGATCAGTCCTGGTTCAGTCCGTACGCGGTGCAAAAGTCCGGCATCACAGTCACGGAAGTCACGTAAACGGGAAACGGCCGTTATCCGTTTTTTCCATTCTTCATTTAAACACAAAATCGAAAACTGAAAAAACGAATCATTATCCGTTTTTTCATTTTGGTTTTGGAGACAAATAACGAAGAAAACTGTTGTTTTTTCGTTTTCTTATTTTTGGTTTTATATTGAAAAACGAATGAACGAATGATACACGGATTATCTTGTAGCACGTGTTATCCTCTCACTTGTATGTTCCGTGTGTTTGGCCTCACCTGTGTCGTGGTGCTTGTTGGAGAGTCTGGAGTGCTGTGAGGGCAGGATCTCCAGTTTGACGAGCTCTGTGGTGCTGGACAGGAGCTGTGTGGCCTCCAGGACAGAGCAGTGTTCTGTGGACGTGCCGTCGATGGAGAGGAGGTGGTCCCCCGGGTGAAGGGCCCCGCACCTGAAGAGGGACACAAACAGATTCAGGCTCAGTTTTACCCAATACAAATTCATTTATCATAGAGCTGTAGTCTTTAGATGTTTAATAATTAGTCAACCACAATTTGAATTAGTTGGCTAATCATTTTATTTAGATTATAAGGGTTTATGTGGAACAACAGCAGAAAAAAAACAGCATTATTAATAAACAGTTTAGTGGTCCATGCATTTGTAGTCACTAGCCAGTGCAGTTTCGGTCAAATACGTAATAGTTTTGAGAGCTTTTGTCTCCTTTTTATAGCAGAGTAATTCATAGAGCACTTTAAAAACAACACAGTCAGCCGAGGCGCTTTACACAAACTCAGAGCAGCTGCAGAGCCTTAAAATATGAGACAAAACAGTAAGAAAACATCAATAATGGAAGAACAGTTACGTCACTGTCAACTCTTCAAACAAAACAAAAAATTAAAATTAAAATAAATAAATAAATAAAAAAAAAATTATAATAATTTCAAAAAAAGTTCAGAAGGGAAAAGAATAAGTAAATAAATGTAAATAAAAAAAATACATAAAAAAATAAAATAAAATAAATAAATTATTGTAGTAAAGAAAATTTTAAAAAATCATAAATGAAATAAAAATAAGAAATAAAAAAAATATATAAATAAATCGTTAAAAATAAAGTAAAAATAAGCATATTTAAAGATAAATATGGTAACACATATGGTAGATTAGTAACTATAATGAGTAAGTAATAAGTGCATAATAAGTGCTTAATTACATCTTTGTTAGTATTTATAAAGTACTTCCAACATATTTTTGTCCAAGGCCGTATTTTGCGAGTACTAACTGATTTGTATCAAGTATTTTCTTTCCATTAAAGCAGTGGAGATTGCAATAGATGTTTTTGTGCATACACTGAAATCTTAATAAACATTAAAAAGTGTAAGCTGATTAGCAAACCAATTAACACTTAGTTAATGATTAATATGTGGTCCCTAAACTAAAATGTTACCATAAATACAAGTAGAAATGAATAAATGAAAACTGAAATGTAAAAATAAGCACATTTAGCTTTTTATGGATTTGTTTAAATGCATTTCTGTACTTACACATTACATGATCAGTTCCTTCCTAATTACGTAATTGCTGGACCTCTATACGGTTAATCAGGTCCACTTTCTCTCACTTTTTTTTTATTTTTTTTTTAATAATAATTCACCTTTTGATAATCTGTTGTGTTTTGCAGTGAACTCATTACAACATTTAAAGAATATACAAATAAAACATAGTACCTCCATATGGACCATAGTTTGAAGATATATTGATATAATTTCACCTCTGCCAACAGTTTAATGTCACGTTTTGATCCCATAAAGAACATTATGGAGGCAGTGTAACAGAGTAATACAGGATTTATGTAAATTGAGCCGAGAGTTGCTAATGCCTCTTGAATAAACGGAGCGATGTAGAAACCCGCTGTGCAATACATGGAATTAGACTTTCATATGAGGTTCATGTCAAAGGTTTAGGAGACTTTCTAAAAGGAAATGGTCAAAACCTGCCCAAACTCCACCCATAGTGACATTTCAAATAGAGCTTTTAAACTGTAGTCCGGCTGGTGCCACCTAGTGCCTCCACTCAATTTCATTTCTCTCCAGCAACTACGTCAGGAGTTGGAATACACCAGACGGTTTGCAAGAACCCGGAAGTTGTAGACCGTGCACCGGCCAATCAGGGAAGAGCTGTGAAGCCGTGACGTCAAACTCAAGCGTCTGTCTGGGTCATTTTTGTGGTACAGCACAACGGTAAACAAAGCGGTCGAGATGGATGTAGACGAAGACAGACATTCTGTGTTGGCAACGATTCCCGAGATCGAGGATTTAAAGCCGGAACAAAGAGAATGTTTGGCTGATTTTATCAAGGGGAAAGACGATATTGCCCTTCTTCCTGTGGGATTTGACGCAATACATACGTCACGACCAAATAGCAGCGATTGGTGAAATAAAAAAAGTCGAGTGAACGAATCCTAAAGCTGCGAGGTCAGACGGTTTCTATGAAGTGAAACCGGCTGATGAATCAGGCTAATTAAATAGGCAGTACCCGGAGGACTAAAGAAATAAATGAGAGGAGGGGCGGGTTCTGGAGATATAAGGAACATATATTCACACCCTGTAGCCAGGTGTTTTTCACACTATCATGCAACTTAAAAAAAACAAACACACAATGCAAAACGTTATGGCAAAAACGAGGCTCACTGCAGCAGTGTGACAAAGTGGGCCTTTGTCTCATTTTAAATTCACATTAGTTTATGTTAAACATTTTTATTTTGAAAGGGGACTTGCTTTGCTTTGGGAGTTACCTGGATACTCACCTGGGGGGAGGTGTTTCCTGCTGGGCGGGGTATAAAAGCAAAGCAGGTGTCAACAATTAGGGAGAGACTTCTGTGCAGGTGTTTGGTGTTTTTGCTTTGAGTTACTTATTTTTTGTCTATTTGTACTTTTGTTGGTGAACTCCAGAAGTCTGTTTTAAAATAAATGTTGTCTGGTTAAGGACACTTTTTTCTTTGCATCTGCCTCCTACTTTGAGCACTTTGGCCAGCTTCCCCACACGCAGTTACAGAGAGAGGGGCCACAATATTCCAGTGTAAGTCAAAGGGAGCCAGAGTCAGAAGGAGCCAGAAGAGCCGCATGTGAACTTCCTTTTTGGAATGCGGCAGATAATGTGTTACCTATGTCCATTTATATCAAAAGTCTATGGTTAAAACAAACAATATACACAGTTTCATAGTAAACAAAGTGTATTTAGTGTTTAGTATGAGAGCAGAGTATCTCACCTGTCCACCACACTTCCTGCTTTGACCCTGTCGATGATGATGACCTGTTTGTTTCTGTGCGCGGCTGACGTTAGCGTGATGCCCAGCGTTGCCCCCGGCGACTTGGCGATCTCCACCAGCAACGGACCGGACGCGTTCGACATTGTGTCTGACAAAAGACAATCCAAAAGATTAACTTTTCTAATGTTCACCTTTATGTTTCATAAAAAAATAGATTCACAGAGATAAACTGTAATGTGCGCACATTATTTTACTAGAGAGATACTTTATTGATCCAGAGGGAAACTCTATGTAATAACTAATCAAGTACAGTGTTATTTTACACAGAGTACTGTCAGGTTTATCACGGTGTAAGTTGCCTATTGTAGAATTATAGTGTTCATTATCACTGCATAGACCCTTCCGGTATTTGTGAACAGAACATCTGTATATACAGAGGCGGCGCTACCATTAGGCTAAAGCAGGCGGCTGCTTAGGGCCCCCAAACCTGGAAGGGCCCCCAACCAGTGATACTAATGGCCAAAGCCTCAGCAATTTGTTTCTCTCTCATTATGACATTGAAGCCCCGTCCACACTAGTACATATTCGAGTCATTTTCGTTGCAGATGCAGTGTTCGTCCACATTAATCTGACTGAAAACTGCTCCAGAGATGGAACAATCTGGTGCTGCCAACTCCCACAAATTCCTTTGAGTGCGGATCTGATCCAGCACTGTGTGGACGCCTGAAAACGCTGATTCGCTGATGTAGGTCTATGCGCCACGAAGTAATTCACCGCCAAAACACTAAGGGGATAGAATATATGTCCATGTCTATGCGTGTGACCTGCAGATGTATAATCTCAGAAAAGTTTCACAAGAACCACCTCCAACGCGACAGAAGCACACTCACCTTCAGCACCCTCTGTCACAGAAAGAACACTCATATTCCACTGAGTCGTGTCCTTTAGTCTGACAGAAACTGAACTGTATCAGGGCACAATAGCGAGCTGTTTATTGAGCGCTCAGTTTTTTCAAATTAGTCATGCAGTTTAAAGTTTTGTGTATGTAAAACGTAAAGAAATATGTGGAAAGCTGTGTGGATAGAGAAGGCTTGTGGACACAGAAACGACATGTCTGGATACAAATTGTTTCCGATACAGTGATAAGGTGATTAGTTTCAGTGTAAATGTAGTCTAAATGAGAGTAGTTTACTTTAATCATAAGCAAAATAATAATAATCATACGTAAATGGATGTAAACAAAAATGTAATTGTACTAGCAAAAAAATAAAACTACTTTCAGCTCTGGTTTTCTAGTTGGCGACTGAACTAATAAGACAAGTTTCCAACCCACCATAATTCAAATAAATAGAGATGTGCATGTCTCAAGAACAATGGGGAAAAACAGACAATAAATATTTTAAAAACAAAACAAAAAACGGTGCGTTATAGTGAGGGACCCAAACTCAAGTTCACCTAGGGCCCCCAAAATGCTAACTCCACCACTGTGTGTATATATCTCCAAATTGGCCCTTCAGTTGCTATGTTACTCATGGTCAGAATTCCAAATATGGAACTTGGCTCCAAATTTCTCCCTATAACTGCAGGCCTCGACGAGCTTCATTTCATTGGAACCAAACGCTGTAGGTGACGTCACACTCCCTTAGTCCACTTTTTTATATAGTCTACACTACCGGTCAAAAGTTTTACAACACCACACTTGTTATATATATATATTTTTTTACTGTTTATTGTGTCATTGCACTCTGAAATGAAAACATAGAATAAATAAGCAATTTGAGTTGAAAAATAAATAATGGAATCAATTTATAGAGCAAAATGTATTCTAAACTTTTGATTCACGGAGAAAAATCCCGCATACCGTCTTACTTGCAAATTGTGAGATTTATTAGGACAAACCGTGCAACGTTTCGGCACTAGTCCTTCGTCCCTAGTTCGAAACCCTAGTTCCTAGTTCCCATAAATGTGTGGCACTTGTAGGTTGCTTGGCTTTCACTCTTCTGTCCAGTTCATCCCAAACCATCTCGATGGGGTTTAAGTCTGGACACTGTGCTCCATGTTTTCAAGCTTTACCATCTTGTTCTTTTTTCCTGAGGTAGTTTTGGCAGAGCTTGGACTTGTGTTTTGTATCTCATCTGTTTTTTTTAAACCTTTGGCTGTTCAGTTCTTACCTTTATCATTTCAAGCTCTTCTTTGGACTTGCACGACTTGAATTGCAATAAATAACTGGAAAAAATAGGGTGTCCTTAAACTTTTGGCCGGTAGTGTTTTTACTTTGCTGTCCTGTTAAAATGAGTGGGATTTAAGTACTAGGGCCTCTTCAGTAATTCTGAACTCATCACTCCTGGAAGACTCCTTTGAAAACTACAGTAATGTTTGATAAAAATGCAATATGTAAATTTTAATCTCCCTCTAGAATTAATTAATGACTACTTTTGAATTTTAACAAGTGTTACTCTCTTGAAACAGCAATTTATTTTGAGTGGTATTTTCATTTAGCTGATCCTCCTGAACATTTTAAAGGTGCACTGTGTAACTTTTCTGGTGGAGGGTCCGTCAAACGCTTTTTTTCTCCATGGAGATGTTATTGCTTTGTCTGAAATGTTTCGCAATATGGCATTAAATCTGTCTACCTTCATGGAATCATGACCAAGACCAAGACCAAGTTACGTGTCAGGTTTGTGGAGATGATGTCTGTTTTCTGAGCTATAAAACCACCTGTAATTGAATAAATGTAAGGTAGAACTGTTTAATGTCGTACTGTGGAACATTTCAGATAGAGCAGTGAGGTCTCCATGGAAACAAGCAGCTAACGGACCCCAAAAATTTACATAGTGCAGCTTTAAGTATTTGCTGATCCCCTCTTATTCTAACGGATTCTTTTATAAATGAAACATGAGCTAAAAAAGCACTAGATTTTATGTTCTGCGGTGGCTTCGTATGAAAATGAGTCTTTAAACGTCCAGATAGACCAGAGGGAGCTCCGCGGTGCATTCTGGGTAGTCTGAATGGGAGCCGTTTAGCCTAAGCTTAGCCCCGGGCGAAAGGGAAGTGCCAACGCATCAAAAACACTGCCGCCATTTTCATTTAGTGGGTTCAGAACCGCGGGGGGGTTTGGCTGGGAGAGGAGTTTTAGCTCTGCTGTTAAAGACGAGATTGGAGAGTCATTTTTATCGGCGATATTGTGGAAATTTGTGTTTTTCTAGTGTTAAATGTTCCCTCACCAAAAACAGAAGCTGAGTTTCAGAAATGATCCATAATTAGTATGTATCTGATAAAGAAATACTACTGCACCAAAGACGCCTCCAGTTCAGGACTTATTATTAACCTAGCTATGTTTCTATAGGTTATAATACTCCCTACAATGGATGTACACTGAGATTTAAAGGGTCCATGTTACGCTATTTTCTGAGCTATGTTATAATGTTGTTTCCTCATCACAAACATACATCACAACACACAAACGCTGCATATTTACTGTATTTTTGGGGTGATTTTAAGGCACAATATCAATAATGTTGAATTCTCTCATCTATTTTCATATATAAGTCGCACTGGATTATAAGGACATAACATTTAAGACTGATCCCTTAGCCCAGGTGTCCACGATCCATCAGCAGATCATGGTGTAATTCGCCCGGCGTTGCCTCTCTGTCTTGGTGAATGTGGATTATGAATGTGAATACAGGTGGATCATTTAAGTTTCTTTTTTTCAATTTCCTATGAGGAGGACACAAATATACATTAAGTAATAATGTGTTTAAAGCAGCTTTGTGCACATTTGTTTACATTTTAGAGAAATGAAACTTAAAACCACATGGCTCATTTCCATAAACTATAAGCGCTGAAAAAAAGAGCTTGCTCCTTGTGCAGTGATAAGGTTCAGCTTCTGTCGGACTAAAGACACGACTCTGTGAGGTTCCTGACTACAGTAGCTGTAATGCTCAAACAGTCCATCAAGCGGTGCGGCTTTGTAGCTTATCAAAGTCACCCTCAAACATTTGACAGATTTGAGCAGCGTGTACCACACAAAATCAGTTCGAGGTCATTAGACACAACCAGAAATAATACATAAGACACACCGGATTAAAAGGCGCACTGTCGATTTTTGAGAAAATTTTAGGATTTTAAGTGCAGATTATAGTCCGAAAAAAGCGGTAGGTTAATTCTTCTCTCGAACAGAAAACACTCTGTTCCACCTCATGATGTCATGTGGCAATACAGGAAGTGCTCCATCTGTCTCTACTGAACTAAATGTAAACTGTAGCTCAGGAGTCTCCAACCTGCAGCTCGGGAGCTACCAGTAGCTCACCACCGTCCTCTGAGTAGCTCACCAAAGGATTTCTGAATTACACATATCGTGCTGAATAACTCATTTAGATGAATTAAATGGCTATTACCATTGTAAATGTATAATTTTTATGCCAAACATTGTCCACTAATAATTGGATAAAGGTTTATATTTTAAAGGCATTTAACTGTACCTAACAGCGGCTTTCATATACACTCAATCTCTTGTGACTGCTAACATTAGTAGCTCTCCAGCGTTTTCATTTTGTAAAGGTAGCTCATTGGAGGAAAAAGGTTGCAGACTCCTGCTGTAGCTGTTTACTTGAAAACTACAGCTTCATGACATCACAAGGTGGAACAGAGCATTTTGAGACATAGACAGACTAATAATAAAGGTTTACTCAGACGTGTGAATGAAACAAATCTATTTCTGTTTTGAAAATATATGTGCTGAATATACATGCATCCCGAATTTCAGACTTCTGGTCATCGTGCAGTGTATACTAGGAAGGATTCTCGGAAAAAGTGAGCATCAAACGGCCATGTTTGATTTCTCAGTGGGATGCGTCTATTGTCAAAGTCGATCTTTTCAAGTCTTTTGAACCATATTGCTTTTGTTTCTGGTTCTGATATTGTCATATTTTAGTTTCGGACATTGTAATTGTGTGGTTGTTGGATGTCCTAACAGCGGAAAATGACTCGAGAAACGGGCTTTGGAAGTTGGCAGACTCCATAAATGCAAAACGGAATCAGATCTGTGTGTATTAAGAAGATGACAATATCAGCAGGATTTAAAATTCTAAATCTGATGGAACAAATGATTTCCACAAGTGGGATTTACCTGGTTTGCACTAAAGAAGACACTAAAACACCATATACACAGGTTGATTTAGTGTTTAGTTTTATTTCCTCCCTCCCCACAGCCTACACGCCCACCCCCCTCTGTTTGTCTCCCGTACACAGAGCTGTTTGTCTCACCCATGATGGTGATGTCGTACTCCACCTGGAACAGCGCCTCCTGTCCACACTGAGCCAGAACGCTGAGGGCCTCACCGTGAGAGCACGAGTGAAGAGGGACACCGTCCACACTGAGGAGACGGTCTCCGGGTCGCAGAGTGCCCTCCCTGTACACACAAACACACAAAAGATTATGATTTTAATTAGGTGTAAAGCACTTTCAGTTGTCTGTGTGCATGAAAAGTGCTCTACAAATAAACCAACTTGACTTGAAAGTTCTGAAGAGAAAATACTTGTGAAAAAAGGGGATTGTGTGAATGTGAAAATCAAACAGTTTAAATTCAAATGAGTTTGTTATTTAAAAAAAGTCAGAGTCTGTATAGTAGGGATGCAACAATAACTGAAATATTGTGTGGGCTGTCAAGCTTCTTTGCTTAAATGCATTGTTTTATTGCTCCGACGGCAAAAAAAATTGAAGATACTATATAGGCTACACTCTTTTGTTCCATTTCAGTGCAAAAAACATTAAGAAGAAAAAAGAAAAATTAAGAACTTTTCTATCTTAATTTTTTGGACTGACATTTTTTAGTCCCAAAGTCTCGTCAAAGGTTTTAAAGGTGCACTATGTAACTTTTTGGTTAGGGGTTCGTCGTCAGGTTATTTTTATAGACACGTCATTGCTGTGCCGGGAATGTTCCACAGTGTGACATTAAACAGCTCTACTTTCTATTTATTCAATTACAGGTGATTTTATAGCTCAAAAATACCTAGAAAAACAGGTCGCTTCTCCACAGATCTGACCTGTAACTTGGTCTGGTTTGGTCTCCATAAACATATAAAGGTTTGTGAAACATTCCAGACAAAGTAATCACAACTCCATGGAGAAAAAAAAGCATTTGATGGACCCTCCACCAGAAAAATTACACAATGCAAAAGAAAAAAAGTAGCATTTCTTCAATTCCGTTCTGCAATAAATATCATGTTGTTAAATAAATATCATAACTGTATTGGACTGTGTGATTTACATATCATTACACCTGTACTGTAGTGCAAATAATGATTGTGACACTAGTCTGGACCATATTCTGTCTGTTAATCATGAGAGAACTTTGAATAGTGAAGTGTAAAAAAAAAAAAAAAATCAGTACAATAAAGTAAAGTACAAAGGAAAATGTCGTGTCCTCCTTAAAACATACCTGGGGTTTTGTTTTGTTTCATTCACACATGGAACTGTTAACTTGAAAACTAGTGGAAAAAGTGGCAAAGTGGTACAGAGAATTTTGAGTTTCGGAGATGTAGACAGACTAATAAACATGTGTGAAGGAAACAAAACACAACCCCAGGTCTGTTTTAAGGAGGTAATAGTTTTGTAACATGACTAAAAAGCTCACAGGAGTCAATTTTGCATAATTTAGGATCTTTAAAACACTTACTCAGGCCAGGTTTCGTGTCTGGAATGTCATAATTCTGATTCTGGTTTAGGTAAACAAATCAGATGCTTCTTACCTGTCTGCTGGCCCTCCTGGTCTGACATAAGTGACCACCAGGGGGCGAGTTTTGTGCCAGTCTTCATGAGTTCCACCTGGAAAAAGCACATACAGTAATTCTAACCACAAAATATGTTTTCCTTATGTTTCCTCAATACTTTTTACTGTACCACTGTAATTCATTCATTACGGATATAATAATATCATTACATTTCTCTGTTTTGATCATGAATGTTTGCTGTCTTCCTCAGAAGTTCCATGACTTTTTCATGACCTAAAGTGAATTTTCCATGACTTTACAGCACCTACATGTGTAGAATTGATCTTTTTTTTTAGGGCTAAATATGAAATGTTAACCCTTTCCACTCACCTTATGGTTTGGTATTATAGTTTTTTAACATTCAAAATACTGTCAGTGCATTTATTGTCGTCTCTTTTAAACAAAAGGTGCAGACATTCAGAAATAACAACCTAATGATAACTTAACAGAATGATGTAGCTGAGTGAAAGAGATACTTGACTTTTCCAAAAACATTCATTTCATTTCAAAATTCCATGACTTTTCCAGGGCTGGAAAATTACATTTTCAATTTTCATGACTTTCCCAAGATTTCCATGACCGTGGGAACCCTGTGTCTGTGATGTGGCTGCTTATAATGTTTCCTCATCACAAACAGACCTGGAGTTGTCAGATGAAGAAAAGAGGTAGAGCGCTTCACTGGGTCATAAAAAAGTAAAAAAATAAAAAATAAAAAAATAGCAGTACAGGTGAGGAAAAAGAACAAACCATCACCTATATATTCCTCATGGTTGACCAACCTTTTTTGTTTTTGGTTTGTTTGTTGTCTTTTTCTTATAGTCATGTGATGTTGTCATGTGATTGATAATTAATTGTATTTAATGGCACTTGTGTGTCCTGTTTTAAAGGACTTTTAATTAGGGTGACCATATTTGCATTTGTCAAAACCACGGCACCATGTTTTTCAGTGTCCTGGTAAACTTTGAGGTCATTGGCACCGACACTGGACACCAAAACAGCCTGCTTTGCAGACTGTGCACATGACCTCCCACTTGTCTCGACCGGTATGGAAAGCGGGGAATTTCTTGTACAAGTCATCGTTAAATGCACATTTGTGCTTCGGCATGTTACAGACTGACTGACTGTTTGTGTCTGCTCGCTCCTTCTGAGTGCACAGAGAGAGACGCTCAGTTTAATGGCCCCAATGAAAGATCATGAAAACCCGGACATCTGCATCACTTTATAAAAAAAAGCCCGGATGGACAGGACAGGACGTGAAAAACGGACATGTCTGGGGAAAAACGGACGTTTGGTCACCCTACTTTTAATATATTCAGTCAGAGTGCCTCGGGTTTGTATCTTGCCCACTTTTACATTTTTCAGTAAGGGTAACTTTCTGTTAAGATACCTTTAATATTTAGACTGAGTTCTTCTCTTAAACTGCTCCGCTGTGTTTTTAAGCTCCTTTACTAGAATCATTTGGATAATTTCAGTCTTGGAATTGCACAAAACTACTGTCTGTCTACATCTCCAAAGTTCAAAATGGTGGAACAGAGCTACATTTTACCTTTAGTTCAGTAGAGATCGGCAATTCCACGGCTGACTTCATCCAAATTATTCTAGTGAAGATGTATGGAGTTTAAAAGCACAGTGAAGCACTTCCTATAGAGAGTGTTTTCTTTTTGAGAGAACTACTCAACCTAAATATGGAGGGTTTGTGCGTTAAACATGTGTGAATGAAACAAAACACAACTCCAGGTCTGTTTGTGATGAGGAAACAACATCTCAACAGATCAGAAAATTGCGTGATACGGGTCCTTCAGGTCAATTTACAACAGTGAATGAGAAACTGTCACATCGCAGTACCAGTATTTTGAGTCTTGGTGAGCACTGCTTTACCTGGAGGATTTTACCGATTGTGCATTGTGTTTTGAGACAGTGACTAAACCCAGCGCCGCCTGTATTGTGTGGCGTTATCATTTTTTCTCACTTGTTATTGTACCTCGGAGGACGAAGCCGAAGCTGCTGCCTTCTTTGTGCAAACAGATGTCGATTGTCTTTGAGATGAGCCCTGAGCTGCTGTCCGGCGCTTTCACCCACGAGCAAAGTATGAGAAAACACAAGAAATCTGGTATTATTATTACACATATCTGTTACGTACTCCGGGAAAATACTCCGTCCAATATGTGGTGCGACTAAAACAACATCTGCGCAGGAAATGAAAAGACTGTGACATTCAAAAGTCGTATTATTATTATTGAAATGGGTTTGCAAATAAAACATATAAACTCAATATTACAAATGGAAATGCCATATATACAAAGTATATGATATTCTAGGTATGTGTTAAAGGTGAACTATGCAACCTGCTCATCACCATGGAGATGTTATTGCTTTGCCTGCAGGTCCCACAGTACGGCATTAAACGCATCTTTCATGTATTAAAAAAAGCGTATACGGCTCTATTTTCTGATTTTCTGATGTTATAATGTTAGTTCTTTATCAAAAAACATACACGGATAACAGGACTGAACCAGGACTAAAACAGGAATAAACCAGGACTAAACCAGGACTGAACCAGGAGGACTAAGCCAGGACTAAACCAAGACTAAACCAGGATTAAACAAGAGCAGAATTAGGGCTAAACCAGGTCTAAACCAGGACTGAACCAGGACTAAACCAGGACTGAACCAGGACTAAAGCAGGTCTAAACCAGGACTAAAACCAGGATTAAACAAGAGCACAATTAGGGCTAAACCAGGACTAAACCAGGACTGAACCAGGACTAAACCAGGACTGAACCAGGACTAAAGCAGGACTAAACCAGGACTAAACCAGGACTGAACCAGGACTAAACTGAGACTAAACCAGGACTAAACCAGGACTGAACCAGGACTAAACCAGGATTAAACCAGGACTAAACTGAGACTAAACTAGGACTAAACCAGGACTGAACCAGGACTAAACCAGGATTAAACCAGGACTGAACCAGGACTAAACCAGGATTAAACCAGGACTGAACCAGGACTAAACTGAGACTAAACCAGGACTAAACCAGGACTGAACCAGGACTAAACCAGGATTAAACCAGGACTGAACCAGGACTAAACTGAGACTAAACCAGGACTAAACCAGGACTGAACCAGGACTAAACTGAGACTAAACCAGGACTGAACCAGGACTAAAGCAGGACTAAACCAGGACTAAACCAGGACTAAACCAGGACTGAACCAGGTCTAAACCAGGACTAAACCAGGACTAATCTTGGTCTTGAGCGAGATGGAGAACCTCGAACCTACTCATAGCCCCGTGGGGCATGGAGCTCTGCACTGGTCACGTCTGGGCCTGTCCCAGAGTACTGGTTCAGAACTAGTTCAGTTCTGGTTTAGTCCTGGTTTAGTCCTGGTTTAGACCTGGTTCAGTTCTGGTATCTTGGTATGTTTTTGATAAGGAACCAACATTATAAGGATGTTTTTAAAGTTATTTTTAAGTAATAAAAACACCCATAATTGAATAAATGCATCTTATGTAAGTTTAATACCACATAGCGGACCCCCCCACCTGAAAAGTTACAAACAAAGTTGCAACTTCTTTAATCTTTTGAATAGGGAAAAGTCCTCATTAAAAAAAAAAAAAAAAACTTGGTCTAAAACCCATAATTATAAACATGCCAGAAGTGTAATACCGGTGTGTACCTGTAGGGGGCAGTTCATACTCCACCTCCAGCAGCACTCTCTCTCCCACGTTCTTTAACAAACTGATGATCTCCTCGTGCCGGAGTTTTGTCAAGTTTATCCCGTTCACAGACTTTATGTAATCGCCGATGTTTAGCTGATCACTTCTGCACACAGATAAAAGACAAGCAAGTTTTTTGGGTTATAATCAAATGTACAATCAACCATGCAAAGGGTGACAATCCAAAAGGTGCAGGTCGTTTTAACTGGTTCGAAGCCCATATGACAGAATTTCTGATCTATGCTATAATGTTTCCTCATCGCAAACATACCTAGAGTTGTGTTTTGTTTCATTCACACATTTTTATCTTATCTAATAATAAAAGATCACTCAACATGTGTGAATGAACCAAAACACAACTCCAGGTATTTTTGAGGAGAAAACAGCATCCTAAATTGGCTTGAAGCTTATAAGAGTAAATTTTGCGTAATATAGGACCTTTAAACAAATTTATTGTAGAAAACGGTGAACTTGAGCTCTATACGCCCAAAGTATAACAGATAGATGATCAAGATTGTTCAGTCTTAGCTCTCAATATGATTTTCACCGCAAAAGGTCTTAAGAGAATAACTTTTTAAATTATTATTCAATTAAAAGACTGCACATTTCACACATCTGTCCAGTAGTTACAAATGCACTGTAATGTTCTGTTGTGCTAATGTTATTAACAGACGTTGACTGTTTCTTAGAGAAAGTTTCAGGATCTAGACTCTGGTCTGACCCATTTATTTGATTTAACCTTTATTTAACCAGGAAAGAAAAATCCCATTGGGATTAAAAACCTCTTTTTCAAGAGGCAGCAATTTAACACATTACAACATACATATACTACATGCATACAAACAACAATACATATTGAGTTTTTCGGACTATAAGGCGCACCGAATTATAAGGCGCAATATCAGTAATGTTGAATTCTCTCGTCTATTTTCATACATAAGGCGCACTGGATTATAAAGCGTTAAGCAAAACAACAGGACAACACTCAAGACTGATCCCTTAGCCCAGGCGTCCATCATCCATATGCAGATTTTGGTGTGATTATGAATGTGAATGTGGGTGGAACATTTATTTAAGTTTGTTTTTTTAATTTCCTATGAGGAACACTCAAAAATACATTGATTAATAATGTGTTTGATACAGCTTTTTGCACATTTGTTTACATTTTACAGAAATGAAACTTAAAACCACATGGCTCATTTGCATAAACTATAAGCACTGAAAAAAACAAACAAACAAAAAAACAAAAAAAAAAAAACAGCTCACTCCTTGTGCACTTCGTAGTTTACCAAAGTCTTACTAAAACATTCTGACAGATTTTTGAGTGCCGTGTACCACATAAAATCGGTTTGAGGTCAGTAAGCACAACCAGAATTAATACAGAAGGCGCACAAAATTAAAGGATTTTAAGTGTGCCTTATAGTCCGAAAAATACGGTAATCACAAATTAAGAAAAACAAGTGCACTTCATTGAGGCAGCTGCTGATGTTTTCACTTTAGATTTAAAAGCATTTAAGGACAAGAGCCCCTGCCCCCTCACCTGGCTGCCAGCCCGCCCGGTCGGAGGTTGGACACTCGGGGTTTGCCGTCCTTGTCCGTGCCCCCGGAGATGGTGAGTCCCAGAGTGCTGCCCTCCTTCTTCACCAGCTCCACCAGAGTCACCCCCCGCAAAGCTTCTGCCCACAACACACACACGCACAGAACACACACAGAACACAACACACACACAGAACACACAAGACACACATCACAGACAACATAAAGGATACGCAAGACAGCACCACAGAGAAGAAAGGTCAATGACGTGGAGAAGCAAGTGGTGAGTGTAAATAATGCAAATATCACTGAATGACATTAACAACAACACTAACATGGTGATTTTGGCGAGCTAGCCAGGAGCGCAGTATGTACAGGAAATACATATTGCATTCATTCTCATTTTATTCTATATTATTTTGAGAGTCTCTGTGCTAAAATTCCCCAACACGGTTCTAGTTGTTGGGGCAACCGGACCGGCTGCTCAATCTGAATTTCATGACCATGTTGTAGCTGTATAAAAGGAACAGTCCAGAATTTTGGACATAGGACCTCATTTCCTAGTGAGCCAGAGTGTTGGAGACGTGTGGAGACACTTTTTTTTTTTAAATATTCCATCCAGTCCTTGTATTTGCAGAGGTCACCGGTGCTAGAGCTAGTGCATGTCAATGGCCATAGTTATCCTGCCACTAAAAACAGTCTTAACCACTCCACAAAACACCCAAAACAAATCTATTATTACACCAGACTGTCGATGTAAATGCCTGTGTTAATAGAATAATGTTTGAAATAAAACTAAGCTTGCGTCGCATGAATCGTCGCATGTTGAGGGACTATTTTCTCATATATCAGTCCGCCGCTGCCAAGCTTTCTATCAGGAAGTACAAATCAATGCTGCTGCTCAGACATAAATCCTTCGTTGGTTTTACTTCTAAAATTATTCTATCAACACAGACATTTACATCGACAGTCTGGTGTAATAATAGATTTGCTTTGGGTGTTTTCTGGAGTGGGTTAGACTGTTTTTAGTTCCAGGATAACTATGGACATTGACATGCACTAGCCTAGCACCAGCGACCTCTGCAAATACATGGACTGGATGGAATATTTAAAAAAGTGTCTCCACACGTCTCCAACACTCTGGCTCACTAGGAAATGAGGTCCTATGTCCAAAATCTCAAACTGTTCCTTTAACCTCAAGCTCTGTGTTGGTGAAACTATCCCTTTTACCATACTACAGAGACAGGTGGCAAATTTTGTGTTGAAAGCCTATCCGAAATTGTATCCAAGATCTGTAGTTTTAAGATTCATGGTAAAATATTACAGTCATCCCTCGCTATATCGCGGTTCACCTTTGCGATCTCACTGTTTCGCAGATTTTATTTTTTTTGTGTGCAATTTTGCGTGCTTTTTTTTTCTTTTCTAATAGCATATGAACGCATATTGCATATTGCGGGCAGGTAGTAATTACATATGGGTGGGTCAGGACTAAACCAGATCTAAACCAGGACTAATCTTGGATTTAAGAGTGAGAACCCCGAGCAGTTTGTCCACAAAGTGAGATCAGGCAATTGCCCCATTTACCTCCATGAGGTAAATGCGCTCCGCGGGTCCTTTCTCCTGTGGTCGTCTCTGAGCCTGTCCTGACAGTGAGTCCTGTTTCATATCTGATTTAGTCCTGGTTTAGTCCTTGTTTACGTCTGTTTTAGTCCTGTTTTAGTCCTGGAATCAGTCCTGGGTTAGTCCTGGGTTAGTTTCGCTTCAGTCTGTGGCATAGGCAGCGCAAAAGTTTGATATAATCTCGAGTTAACAGGCGGGTGCAGTGTTGTACTGTGTGGGTGCTGGTCTCCAACAATGGACTCGTGCAGGACTCTGCGCTGTCGGGCTCCATTACAGAATAAATTAATCTTCGGTTCATTACATAAAGAAGGAGGAAAATAACAAAAGTGCGACAGCAGCAACAAGTTTTAAGAAGGATGCGAAAAATGTATAAAGTGTGTGATGAGGGGTTTTACGGCTTTAAAACAGATATAATCATTGTAAAATATAAAGTTGACTACTTTGCGGATTTCACCTATCGCGGGTTATTTTTAGAACGTAACCCCCGCGATAAACGAGGAACCTTTGTAATCTGGAAATGTATGCACACTGGCAACTACCAGGTACCACCTTATGACATTAGCAAGTGGCACAGAGTGTTAAGTGAGACGACGGTATGAGATGGTCCAAACGTATATAGATCACTTAAAATAACACCCAGACTGAAAGCGGTGGAGGTGAGCGAGGACCCAAACACCCATTAAAATCTGAGCTCAGAGGAGTCAGTCAGGATCTGCTCATCGTGCTCATTTACATAAACCTCAGATCTGTCACAAACGCTCTCTGCTGTCCTCAAGTCGCTCGAGTGGATCTGCCTAATGTGTTTTCAGGGGAACAGAAGTTATGCAAAACTGACTTAATGGTATTTTTTCATGCTATAATGTCTTAATTTTTGGTGCGGTGAAAGATTTTGAGGTGCTGTAAAAATATAATAATTATAAAGAAACAAAAAGAAAACTCAATCATCATTGCACTTTTGTTTTTGTGTCTTTTAAAGATTTTGATTTTAATTTTCATAAACATTACTGATTTGTCTCCCCTGATATGAGCTAAACATGTTCAAATCAAAAAGAGCTTTTACCGATAACAATTGTAATGCTGATTTATTCTTAATTACAAAATAATTGGACATTATGTTTTAATTTGCTGTTTTGGTTCTTAAGACGATTATCTAATCAGAAAGCAGAGTGAGTCTCCCATTTGGGTTGCCAATTTCAATTCTGAAATCCAGTTGGTTTAAAACTAAACCCCAGCACTTGTAGTCAGTCATGTGCTAGTGTAGCCTCTGCATCTTAGTTAAAAACTGTGTTGGAGAAGTCTGGATTTTTACCTGTGACACAACAATCCTGGCAAAATGGAAACAAAGCCTTTTTGAAAGCTCAGAGAAGACAACTTTAGCAAAATGGATTAATGTATATCATTCGTTTTGTTTCATTTGTTCGTTTTTCAAAATAAAAACTAAAATAAGAAAATGAAAAAAAACAACTATTTTCTTCTTTATTTGTCTCCAAAACCAAAATGAAAAAAAAAAAAGGACTACGATTTATTTATTTATTTATTTTTTCAGTTGTGTGTATAAATGAATAATGAAAAAAAAAAAAAAAGAGGATAACTTTTTTTACAACTGATCCCAGGACTGAACCAGGACTAAACCAGGACTAAACCAGGACTGATCCCAGGACTGAACCAGGACTGAACCAGGACTGAACCAGGACTAAACCAGAACTGAACTAGGACTGTAGGTCAGGACTGGCCCGGAGGTGTGCCCGCATAGACCGTCAAGTGACCACAAGCGAAAGGACCAGCGCAGAGCTCCACGGGGCTAAAAGCAGCCGTCGCCTGATAGTGCTTTGCAGACACTTTGCTCCACGGACTTTGTTTTCTTATTTTTTGGTTTTGTTTTAAAAAATGAATGAATGAATGAATGAATGCATGATACACAGATTTAAATACAACCCCACGTGTGTTTTAATGAGGCACAATGATATAAATGGTCAGTTTTCCATTATGTGTGTCCTTTAAAGGGCCGATATTACACTATTTTCTGATTGTTGTTATAATGCTGTTCCCTCATTATGCATGTTTAACACACAAACCCGGCATATTAAGGCTGAGTTCTTCTCTCAAACTGAAAACACTCCAATTTGTTCCACTTTGTAATGTGTTTTTAAACTAAACTGACTTGAATAATGTGGATAATTGCAGCCCTGGAATTGTCAATCTCTGTTGAGCTAAAGGTACCACTATATGACATCACAAGGAGGAACAGGGCATTTTGAGTTTTTAGATGTAGCCAAACTAATAAGAAAGGAACAAAACACAAGTCTGGGTATGTTTTTGAGGAGGTAACAACATTATAACATGTATTGAAGCACAAAAGAGTCAGTTTTGTGTGATATAGGACCTATAATGCCTGTGTTGTTCTGGAGATGGTGAGCAGGAGGTGGAGCAGGTGCTGGAGGTCCTGTACCTGGTATGCTGTGTCTTCTGGGGGACAGCGTGTGCTCTGTGATGTCCTTGGTTTTTCCATACGGTCCATCATCTGAAACACAGAAAACTACTTTAGTGGAGTCATGTCAGTGTCAGATAAGAAGAGTTACAGCACTGACGCTCCCCTGGTGGGTTGAGTTAGTCATTGCATTATTCACAAATCATTGCATTCTACATTCATGGAAAAGAGAAGAGTATTAAATCAAATCAGGTTTATTCATAAAGCACAATCAAAACAGCCAAAGCTTAGAAAAGCTCTAAACAACAACAATAATACAACAATAGTATAAGTATCAAAAATACAACACAGTGAAAATACAGTATAATATAAAACCAAGAAGTCAGTCTCTCTGACTCATCTCAAATGCCACTGAGAAAAGATGTGTTTTTAATAGAGATTCAATGCTGCAGTGACTGTGCTGTTCAGATGTGCAAAGGTAAGCAATTCCACGGCTGTGGTCCAACCACAGAAAAGGCCCTGTCTGCTCTGGGCTTCAGGTGCTGACCTGCAGAGTGCAGAGCTGGAGACCTGGAGCCTCATTCATTAATCTATTCTTAACAAATTTTTGTAACCTTCACTTAAAGAAGATGCTGAGAGCACTCTGCGCCAGATTCACAAAGTATTCTTAAGCTCCCAAATTCCTTCTTAAAGTTGTGCCTAATTCTCCAACACCCACCTATGAACACATTACTATTTATTTGATTAGAAAAGTCCTCTGAACATCCAAATATGGCCAATATGAGTTTGGCATGATTTCAGATGTCCAAAACTCACATAAACACACTCAGTGAGGAAATGTTTAAGTCACAAACTTTTTGAAATAAGCGTGAGCTTTTATCAAATTTATTGCAATTGTGGTCCTGCGGTAAAAAGCAAGGGATGGGCCTGGGGTGGGGGTACATAAGAGTGCACTCTGGTCTTGGGGGTCAGTGGGGTGATGGGGGTGATAAGTCCAGCGCAGTGACCGGGTGCAGGGCTGTGACAGAGGCCCATATGGAGACACTGGGGCTGGGAAAGACTGAGACTCACTGCAGCCTGGAGAAAGTCTGTTAGACCCAATATACACATGATCTAGAAAAAAAATGATTAGGAAATAATTTACAAAAATATATAACTTACAATCAGGGAGGAATTAGAATTTTTTGTTGCATTATCAGAGTAATAATATTCAAAAACTGTAGTATTTTTGTTCTTATGAGGGCTCTCATGAATGAAGCCCACTCATTACTATTTTAAAAAATGTACAGGGAGCCAGTACAAAGATCTACGAGCAGGTGTGCTATGATCCCTGTGTTTCTTCCAGGTTTGTTTTTGAGGAGGTAACAGCATTAAAACATGACTTAAAACTCACAAGAGTCAATTTTGTGTAATATAGGACCTTAAATGGAAATGCAATGGGCCTTCTAAAGCAGCATTCTGAATCATTCACTGATACCATATGTCACGTGTAGCTCTGTGATCTCGTCTCTCTGATGTGTTTTTAAACTGAAGCTCCATGCACGTTAGCCTTAGCCTTGTTAGCCCCATTAGCCATGTTAGCGTCACTGTTTGTGTGCGCTCATATTCAGCCTGTGTGAGTCATCCAGCAGAGCCCTGATGAGAGGAGACTGAACTGGGACGAGGAGAGCGCCGGCCTCCCACTCACTGCACGGTTATCCAGGATTAGACAACTCTGTTCTGTTTTAACCGAAAACACAAAAACAGACGTGCTTTTATGACCAACGTGCCTCATATGCAGCGTCAGGGGATTTGTGCGCAGGCAAAGCAAAATATCGCCTCATCATTATCTGATTTCTGGAGACGTCAGGTTATAAAAAATGTAATCAAAACAGCGTCTGAAGTGAGTAAACAGATTTTTTTCTGATTGGTCACGCTTGGGCAAGTTGACAAGGAAAACTGTGCAAAAAAAGGTAAATTAATGTAGCAAAAACAAAAAAATGAAGATGTTAAAGACTGAAAGAGTTATTTCAGTCAGGTTACTCTGCACATGGCACCAAGTTATTTTGGTGACCACATTTCTATGTAAATGCACACAATGATTAATTTACTATGGATATGGTAAATGGTAGTGTTGTAGTCAAGATCGCTCTAATCAAGACCAAGACCAGTCCAAGACCAGTCTCAGACCACAGGGTCCCGAGGCCAGGACAAGACCAAGACTTTTAAAGGTCGAAACCGAGACAAGACCGAGAACCACCGTCCACTGAGACCAAATCAAGACCATCTTCGTCATTTTTGACATTTATTTGTCATTTTGGCACATATATATCAATGCTTTTTTATAAATCTATCTCCATTCTATCTGATTAATGTTCATTATTCTTAAAATAAGCCAAGCAAACTCTACTGCACTTAAATCAGAACTAAGTAACATTTTTACACTGGCACCCCCAGCTGTCTCTGGGCGAAAGAACCAGACATGTAACTTGGTTGCCACCGATGTGGCGGCAGCTCTCAGGGTTTTTCTCTTGTTTTTGCGAGAGCCAAATTGCTTTACGGCACTTCAACATACACACAGGTAACCGAGCTGCAACACACCCCTTACCATGTACTGAAAGAATAAATATGTAGTGTTTATTTGTGATGTGTCAGCCATGGCAAAACCAACTAAGAGACAGCGGAAGCCTTTGTCCGAGGACGCAAGGAAAAGAAAACGTGAATCGGACAGAGCCGGAGCTCACAGGAGTCAGTGTGGGGAAGGTGTTTGATTGCACTCAACAAAGCACTTTGTGTTGCATTTTTTGTATGAAAAGCACTCTATAAATAAAGTCTGATTGATTGATTGAACAAATGTCAGATCTCGAGTCCGAGACAAGACCGAGACCAAGCACCTTCAAGACCGAGACAAGACCCAGTCCAAGCACGGTCGAGTCTGAGACGAGACCAAGATTGCAAAAAAACATTCTCGAGGCCGATCTTGAGACCAAGACCAGAGTACTACAACACTAGTAAATGGTAAATAGTCACATTTTTATATTGCGTTTTCCACCTTCAAGACACTCAAAGTGCTTAACATCAAGGAATCAGTCACCCATTCACACACACATTCAGACACTGGTGTACACAGACACTGGGGCGAGGCGGGTTAAAAGTCACAACAACAGCATTCATCTGTGGGAGCTGGAATCTCGCCTCAAACCTGTAGGTCAGTGGATGTGATCGCTCCACCATTGATGTTCGTGAGCAGGATTCGAACCACTAACCTTCGGATCAGTGGGCAAACGCCAAACCAACTGAGAGGTACTGTAGACCCCACAAAACCAGCGATAAATCAAGGACTTAACCAGACACAGAGAGCACACAATAGAAACAGAACCAGGTATAACTTTTTGCCTTAGCTATTTTCAGACGGTCTTAAATTAGAAAGTGTTCCATTTGAGAGTTTTCTTTTTAAGTTTGAATGATCCAAAAATATCCAGCGCCTCAAGTGATGTCTTGAAATACAAGTCTGAGACGCAAAACAAGATAAACACGATAAGATAAACAACTGATTTAATCCAGTTGTGATAACAAAAATATTTACTTAGAATATTTATAATTTAAAGGGCCCATATTACACTATTTTCTGTGTTATAATGTTGTTTCCTAATCAAAAACAGACCTTGAGTTGTGTTTTGTTTCATTCACACAAACAACATTCGAAGTTTGAATTTGAATTTATTTGTTTGGAGGATAAGCCCTTTGAGATGTGTCACCATCTCGTTTTCAAGGGGGTCCTCATAAATACAACAACAACAGACAGAAAACATAGATTCCTAATCTGTGTTGAACAAAACATTCACTTGGAAACTACCACTTCATGACATCACAAAGTGGAACAGAAGATTTTGAGCTTTGGAGATGCTGACAAACTAATAATGCAGGGTTACTCAAACATGTGTGAATGAAACAAAACACAACTCCAGGTCTGTTTTGGACGAGGTAATAACTTTGGGACATTCAAGGTGACGTGACACATCCAGAAAGTTATGTACTGTACCTTTAATTCAGTTCAGTATATTAATATAGAGCCTGAAATCACAACAGTAGCCATGTTATAATGCTATTACCTGATCAAAACATACCTGGAGTTGTGTTTTGTTTCATTTAAAGATGGTGAACGTGACAAAACACAACTCCAGGTCTGTTTTTGATGAGGTAACAATATTATAACATGACTTAAAGTTCACAAGAGTCAATTTTGCATAATATAGGAAGGGCCTTTAAAGGGACAGTGCGGAATTTTGGACACAGGACCTCATTTCCTAGTGAGCCAGAGTGTTGGAGACGTGTGGAGACACTTTTTTTAAATATTTCATCCAGTTCTTGTATTTGCAGAGGTCACTGGTGCTAGGCTAGTGCATGTCAATGGCCATAGTTATCCTGCCACTAAAAACAGTCTTAACCACTCCACAAAACACCCAAAACAAATCTATTATTACACCAGACTGTCGATGTAAATGTCTGTGTTGATAGAAACTAAAACTAAATGAAAACTAAATGAAAACTAAACGAAAACTAACCTTGCGTCTCATTAATCGTCGCACGTTGAGGGACTATTTTCTCATATATCAGTACGCCACTGCCAAGCTTTCTATCAGGAAGTACAACTCGCTGCTGCTGCTCAGAAATAAATCCTTCAAAAGCAAGGTTGGTTTTACTTCTAAAATTATTCTATCAACACAGACATTTACATCCACAGTCTGGTGTTATAATTGTTTTGCTTCAGGTGTTTTGTGGCGTGGGTAAGACTGTTTTAGTGGCAGGATAACTATGGCCATTGACATGCACTAGCCTAGCACCAGCGACCTCTGCAAATACAACGACTGGATGGAATATTTTTTTTTAAAAGTGTCTCCACATGTCTCCAACACTCTGGCTCACTAGGAAATGAGGTCCTATGTCCAAAATTCTGGACTGTCCCTTTAATACAGGATCTTTAAAAGAGCGCTGGAGGACAAGTTAGAATTCTAAGGTAGAATTTACAGATTTGTTGACCTGCTTCATCCTCATATATTTGGATATTTCTTTCAAAAACAGGGAGTCTGGTGTCATATTTTGAAACGATGTTG